TTTGAGTGGGGTGCCCTCGGATCGATTCCCGGCTGGTAAGAACCACGTGATGGGGTGCGGTATTCATGACGTCACTCTGACCACCCTAAGCAGTTTTTTTGAACCCTTCATACTAATTTTAACGCTCATTAAAATAATTTTTTCTTTGAAAAAACAAATTTTTTCACCCACACTATAAGATCCCATTTTTTTTTAAATTCATAAAACTATTTTATCTATCAGTATGTAAAAATTGAGTAATAAATAAAAAAATTAGTTAATATTACATATGACATTGAATATATAATTTATCTTCAAATTAAATATAAAGTTTTACTAATTTTTTCCCCTCTTTCTTCTTTTCAAATTCTCTCAACTTTATAAATAAAAATTCTTAATTGAAGAAGAATAATATTAAAATATTAATTGGTTTGTTATACTTCCAATGAATTGGCAAAATATAAAATATTTATTAAATTTAATTTATTAAAAAAAAATTTTTAATTAAAATAAAGTGTATTATTCTTGTTTTGAGAGGATAAATAGAAAAGAATATAGAAAAAGGAATTTTTATTAATTTTTTTTCTGAATTTCCAAAGAAATGATGTGTATAGTTTATACGGGCAATCTTTTTTTCTCACCTACTTAACCTTAACCTTACATCATCAACTCCTGGGCGACCCTCACTTTATGAAGCCAAACGTGTGCCCGTCTTAGATATAGCAATTGGCGGTTATGACCCACTATTGCCCTCCTCCTTAATGCGCAATGAAATAATAACCCAACTTGTATATTTTTGTGGCAAAACGCCATTTTGGCGAACTTACTACGATAAGTTTATTTTCAAATCTTATTTTTTTACTTTGTTACGGTCATGCTCATGAATTTAAATTTTCTTTAAATATAAAATATTACAATTTGCATATAAATGAATATTATACGCTCTTGACGTTTGACCAAATTTTTAAGTGTATCCTTATGTGTTATTATCTTTGTATGGAATTTAAATTTTTTTCTAATTTTATTAGTCTAAGTTAGTTATAAGTGAGTTAATTCCCTTTTTATTCACTTGACGAGATATTTCACTTCTAATATTTCCATTTATAATTAAACCAAATTTTCAAGATCACGTAACACTTATTTTATATATTTTTAATTCTTTCACTCAAATTACAGTTAAACCCGCTGAAGTGAGACTCCCTAAAAAAATGCAACACTTTACTTTGAAAAAGTATCTCTGTTGTATATTTGAATTCAAACAATTCTCGCGCCATTTGTATTGCAGCGCCACCTTCACTATCTAAGCTTTTTTCTTAATTACTTACTTAAAATTCTGAGTTAATAATAAACGAATATTTTTACATCTGGTTTGGAATTTTGTAAGGTTTTAAAGTAATTATTAGCAGTTTTTATTATGGAACATTTTCCTCGATGGCAATAGGAAGATCTGAAGGCAAACTAAAATTTGAATAGGCGTTAATTTGATAAAACTGTATACAATATAATTTTTAAAAGAATCGAAAAATTGAGTTTATTTAAAATTTTATCGATGAATTTTTTTCGTTTTAATCTTAAAATTATCGCGTGGCATCACTGAAACGATATTAGAAAAAAAAATTGGATGAGCAAGAACTTTTGAGTTGAACTTAGTCCAAGCTCACCGTGTGAGTTTATTTGAATTTATTTGAAAAGATATTTTACTTAAACAATAACTTAACAATATTTCCAAATTGTACTTTCTTTACATTAGAGGAATAGTGTCAGGGTTGGACAGTTGGCTTTTTTTAAATAAGAACACTAGCGCCACCTGTGTGCGTACGTGACGAATCTTCTAGTAGTGTAACCTAACTTTTTGTGGCATTACATTTTTGGAGAATCAAAAGTAGCGTCTCCTGTGACTTCGGTGCAATCTAAGAGACAAAAAAAGTTTTGTTTGACTTGTGAATAAATCTAAAAAATATGTAAAAAAAGCTAGAATTCGGCAAGGTAATCTTATTGAATGTATTGTGGGGTACATAATTTAAGAAGAAAAAAAGTGAAAAATCGAATCGCGACACATGCCTGGTTATGGTTAGCACAATTCGAAAATGATGCTTCTAGTTAGGGTTGGACACTTTATACAGTTAGGGTTGGACACCCATATTAATTATGAATTTGACACAATTTATAAATAAATAAATATACAAATAAATTTTATTTTATTGATATTTCAGTGCAAAATTGTGCCAAAGATATTAGAAAAATAATACTTAAATTGTATAAATTTTGTTCATCATTTCATTGAGTTATTTGGAACAATAAAGCGTTATTTTTTGTAATTTGAGTTCATTCCTTTTTTAAACCCATGAAGCTTTACAATTTGTAAACAATAAGTAAAGATAAACATGAAAAAATAAGAATAAAAAACATTACAAATGTTATTTTACGTTTTTACCAATAATGCGTTTCGATTTTCAAAAAGTGTCCAACCCTGACTGAAAAGTCCAACCCTGACTAGATTTTTTTTTTTTTTAAATTTTTATAACTTTTTTAATTTTTATTTATTTATTTATTTATTTAAACATAAACGGGTTACAAAAAAACCCTTTCGTACAGAAGTACTTAATAATAATGGCATACAAAGCCTAGTTACAAATGACCAATTAAGGTAATATACTTAACGCTAGGCTTGGCTGTATAACAATTGTCTCAGACTAGAGATAAACCTGGTCAGTGAGGCGTCAAAAAAATCAAGCGTACCAGAACTAGTATTAGCCTCTCTGCTTATTCTTGCAATCAGAGAATTTTTCGCATAATTCGTTCTATGATACTGCACATAAAAAAGTGAAAAATATCTAGACGATTTCGTTGGTACTGAGAATTTAATCAATGACAAAAGTACTGAGCAATTCGTGTAATTGTTTAACAACTTGTACAAAAAAATTAAATCTGAATATAAAAATCTAGTGACAATTTTGGGCAAATTCAAACGATTTCGTAATTCATCATAATTATGTTCAAAAAAATTGAAAGGTATACCCAATTGTCTTGCCGCAAACCGAAGAAACCGATTCTGAACACGCTCCAATCTTATTAACAAATATGCGTAGTATGGCACCCAAATAACTGACGCATACTGCAATATACTCATGACGAAAGCAAAAAACAAGATTTTAAGAGTACGCTCATTTCGAAACAAGGATGCATTTCGTGTCACAAAGCCAAGCGACCTAAGTGCCCTGCTAATAACATCAGAAATATGAGAATTAAATGACAGTGTACTGTCAATAGTAACACCCAGGTCACAAACTTGAGTCACTCTCGGTATTACATCTTCACCAAATGAATACGAGTAAATAAGTGTACTTTGTTTCCTTGAGAAAGATATCACCGAGCACTTTTTAATATTAAGAGACATGTTATTTTCAGAACACCATGTTTTAAGATTGTTCAAATCTGATTGTAAATCAGCATAATCATTATCTGTTTTTATTACTTTATATAATTTTAAATCATCTGCGTACAAAAGAAAATAACTGTTTTTAAAAATAGATTTCATGTTATTAACATATAAAATAAACAAAAGTGGTCCCAAGTTAGATCCCTGAGGAACACCAGAAGTTGATAAGAAAGGATTAGAATTTTGGACCAATCAATTTACGGTCCACAGCAAAAGTGTTCCTCTTTTGTAGATCTTTCCACCCATATACCACAATTGACTGAATTTATCTAAACAAAATATTTATAAACAAAAAACCAAAACTGTGTCCAACCCTGACACTATTCCCCTACTTTTTTTATAATTTCAAATTTTTCACTGAAATTACAGTCGAACCTGCAGAAGTGAGACATTATGTTTATTTTGATTTAAATTCACTTGAATTGCATAATGTAAAACTTTCGACGAAATTGTACAAATATTTATACTGATTTTTCTGTAAAAATTTACGATTTTTTTGCGTTTATAGTTGCGCAAACTTTTTATTAACACGGTTTAACTGGCTTGCGGTGAATTCCTTTTGTGGAGCTTTATAATGATGATAAATACGTCAGGACATGAGCCAGGATGTCTGCGTAGGATTTACAAAGTGATATAGGGATATCACATGTGCTCAGCACTGTCGCTTATGAAAGGACTTGTAAAGGTGACTGGTTCTCAGTTTTAGAGCCTAGAGCAAAATAATCTAACCCAGATTCAACACTCATTGTGAATGTTTTATATTACAAGGATTTATTGGCATTTTTCAAAATTTTATCCAGTCATTTAATTTTCTCTTTATAAAAAGGATAAATTTAGAATTTATATAATGAAAATGATATTTCCAAGCATATATATTTAGAAAATGAAGGGAATAAATTATTTTTTATACTTTTTTTAATTCCTTGAATATTCTAGTGAAAATTAAATAATACTTATTTTTAGAATAAAATTAATTTTCCATTTTAATGATTTTTTTCTACTCTTGTTTTATATTTAAAACAATATTTCAAGAGCATTTTTTTTTTAATAAAATTTAGTTAATGAATGGTAATTAATGATCATTTTGTACGAATTGCGTATGTAAGTAGGCAATTAAAAAATTTCCTGTTTTCATTTTTCAAATAAAGATTTTAAATATTTTATTTCTCCTTTTTTCTGAACCATATAAATTATTCTTAGAAAATTTTTAATATTTACCGTTGTTACTCGCGTTTATACTCATATTGTTATTCAGATATTTTGAATAATAGTCACATTGAATCTTTTTAAAAGTTCTCAACTGCGAAATCATTCATAGATATTCCTCGGTTTTATGACAAAAATAAAACTTTTGCAATTTAAAGTTACATTTAGAGCTGTAAATAATGTAATAGAATGTTTTTTTACGAGGACAAAAAATTATTTCATTTTTATAAATAATTTTTATATTTTTAAGATTTTTCATTTTTTTTTTCATTAATGTAGTCTGTACTTTTTACATTATGGTCAGTTTTGAAAAAAATTTATCTTTTTACAAAAAACAATATCATTTCTAATAATATGAAATATTTTATTGTTGCAGGATTTTTGTCCTGGGATAAGGACAATTGTCATGTCGACCTTGAGAAGGAATTGCAAGCTCTCACTGCACAGGCACCGGAAGGTGAAGAAGCTAGAAATGGTGAGAGGATTTTTTTTATATTAATATAATGATAATAATAATAATATATTATGTAAATTTAAAGAATCACAAGCATAATTTTAGTAAATTATTTAACAATCAACAAGATGCTGAAGTTCACAATGTTTATGATCAACGATTTTTAAAGAAATATTTTTTTTGATTTTTTGTAAAGTACTACCCATATATATATATATCAATTTTGTGAAAAATAAAACTTTAGTTTGATGAGCAAAACTTTTGAAAACTTCTATATATTAGAGTTCTTTGGTTGTGTAAATAAAATACGAGGCGAAATAATAGATATGTGAAGAAAACTCCAGACTCAATTGAAAAATAAAATAAAAAAAACTTCTAACTTGTATTTCAATTCTGATTTCGTTATGAACATCACTAATTTTAAATGTGGTTTTTTCATTATTAAAATGAATCAATTTGGTTTTATGTCGAAATATATTTTAAATGAAGACAAAAAAAACGTGTAAAGTTGCCTTAAAAATAAGACTTCCTTTTTACTGTGGCTAAAATAAAATTATTAATTAGAAAAGAAATTTGAATTTGAAATATATAACGAGAAATTTAAATTTGAAGAGAAACTTATTAGCTTGTAAAACAAATTTTTTATGTGTATACCGCGAAATAATACAGAACAACCAAAACCCAATTGAATGACAGTTGGAAACTTTCGTAAGGATTTTGCAACAAAATTTTGCGAGGTTTCTATATATGTGTTTCAAAATATATATTTCAAAGTTATCAAATATTTACGTAAGAGTTCATACACATCTGTTATTGCTTCGAAATGGTAGTGGAGACTAAATGTTTGCTCAATAGAACTGGAACTCACTGTTGTGAGAAAATAGTATATATATCCCAACGTACAATGAAAGTGTATAAAAAGAAGAATCTCGAATTTTTATTTTGTATTGTTTTTTATTTTATCTTCTATTTTTTATAAAATTGATAATAATTTTATGTTGTAAAATAAAATAACAAAAATTTTTTTTTTCATCAAGAAAGTTTGTAAGAAATGTAAATAATAATTTTACTATTAAAATCATTTAGAATTTTTACTTTTTTTTTATTGAGCTCTCTTTATTTTTGCATTCTCTTGAAAACAAAATGAATAATTTATTGAAGGCTTGTTCTCAAAATCTCATTAAACCGAAACTGTACATGACAAAATGATATTTGCAGGCGAACGTCTTATTCAATATGCAACGGAGAACCTCGTGACGGAAGTTCTGATACATCCCCAAACAAATACTCTCTTACAATGCATACGCAATCTTCTCGCAAGTTTCACGAAACACCGGCACATCATTCACGCTGGATACACTTTTGGCGGAAATGGTTCCTGGATACTGCAGGTATACATTTTCATCTAATTTTTTTTTATTATTTTCCTTTTACATTCACGAATGACAAATTCATAAATGTTTGATGAAAACAAAATTCCTTATTGTTCCTTCATTAACCTCTTCACTGTTAGAGGAAAAATTGATACTGTGGTCTCAAAATGTCCAACAAATTCTGGACGACAAATTTTTTATAAAACATATATAAGGTTTTTTGGGGTCTCGAAATTCAAATATGACCTCAAATAAAAAAAAAATTCAAAATGGCGGATTAAAAATGGCTAACATTTTTTTTAATATATGCAGAATTTCATAAAACTTTTTATATAAAGGTTTTTGAGCTCATTGAATTCAAATATGACCTCAAAAATAAAATTTAAAATGGCGGACATATTTTTTTTATTTTATACTAAAATCAAGTTCCATTAAAATCCGTTAAAATTTTTAAAATTATGTCATCCATTTTGGATCCGCCATTTTGAATTTTTCAATTTGAAGGTCAAATTCGAATTTAGCACCCTCGAAAACCCCCTTATACCAAGTTTCATTAAAATACGTTAAAAATTTTTAAATTATGTCCTCCATTTTGGATCCACCATTTTTAATTTTTAAAATTGAAGGTCAAATTCGAATTCAGCACTATCAAAAACCCCCTTATACCAATTTTCTTTAAGATCCGATAAAATTTTAAAAATTATGTCCTCCATTTTGGATCCGCCATTTTGAACTTTTGAATTTAAAGGTCAAATTTGAATTCAGCGCCTCCTAAAACCTTTATACATCTAATGAGGGTTAAATATTGAAAATAAAATTTTTTTTCGTGATTTTTACTTATTTTTCAACTGTTATATTACTTAAAAATAATGAATAATTATTTCATTATTACTTAACCAAATATTATTGATACCTTTAGTGTGCGAATATTGATATATAATAATTTATTTTACAATTTACACAGAAAATTTCATTTATTTTGTGTTAAGGTGATCACGACACAACGTATGTGTCGCTAACAGTTAAGGGGTTAATAACAGGATTGAGAATTTTTTGTAAATTCTCATATATATTAGAATCGAGAAAATTTTTTTATTTTTATTATGAATCTAATAAATTTTACACTGAGTATTATTATATTGGTGTGACATTTTTTTCTATCTCGTTAATTTTTCCTAATGATATTTATTTTCAACATTTAATCTCCTTTTACAGGATGGAACCTTTAGTTATGCAGATTTTGTAGATGCATTTAGCGAACATGAGGTGCAAAGAGTGCTTCGTGCTTACGAGAATAGTGTAACTGTAGATATTCATTGCGCGGGTGTTGGTGAATGGTCGACTGCAAGATTATCCAAAGAACCCTGTACAAGGTTTGTTTAACTGATATTAATCTCTGTAAAATTCATTTTCAAAATTTATTCTCATTCTCAATTGTAGAAAAATTCTTTAGAATTTTATTTTTAAATCGCTGCAGCTTGCACAGTCTTTATTACATGATAATCATAATAGTGATTTTATGATAAAAATAAAAGATATTTTAATGATGATGATTTTAGGTCCTGTCAGGTAAAGGTGAATCCTGATGATGTTCTTACGGCAGGTGTTCCAGCCATTACTAGTTTTACACATTATATTGAACAATATCTTGTACCTCAAACATTAGATCAACTAATGGAACCTTCCGATGTTGTCGGAAATATTCGCTTTAGTCATCCAACCCTATACGTCTTCCCGGGTGGACAGGGGGACGCGGCTCTCTTTGGAATAAATGGTTTCAATATGCTTGTCGATGGGGGCTTCGCTAGAAAAGCCTGTTTCTGGGACTTTGCCAGACATTTAGATCGATTGGATGCCGTTCTGGTCACGAGGATAAACAACAGCAATATTGGTGGCATGTCCAGTGTTCTTCGAAAAAAGAAGGAGATGCACGTTTATCCTCAAATTGGGCATTTCTTCTGTAATCTCGTGGTAATTTTATTCATTCTCATAACAGTTATTTAAAATTATCATTGATTAATTTGCATTTATTTGAAATTATCTTCATTTGAATTTTGTTTTAAAATTACTAATTCACTTTGTTATTATACAGGAAAGAAGACACTCAAATTCACCAGACGGCGACAAGGATATTGATCCCTTAGTTTTGGATTTAATTGACATGGGTCAGGAGATGATGGTTAATCTTCGACACATAAGTCTCAGATCTCATCACTGCTACAGGGATCCAGATCCAATAAATCTCTATCATAAAGTCGGTCACGGAACACTTGATATGTATGTTCTGAGTCCCAGTAAAGACAGTAAGGAAGTACGTGAATTTCTCGCCAAATGGCACGCCTCGGATTCGAAACTATTTTCCGGTCCTCATAAAAAGGATTCAAACAATCTTGTCTTTCCTATCCAAAATGTTGTTTCCATCTGTGCGCTATTAGTCTGGCAACCTGCAAATCCCGAGGGTACAATTACAAGGATTCTCTTTCCCGGAAGTACGCCTCAACATAAAATCTTTGAGGGATTGGATCGTCTCAAGCATCTTGAATTTTTGAAACATTCAACATGCTCGGCCAAAAGTCTCTCGCCATCGACTTCGCTCGTCGCTCTTAAGGACAAACCCTTAAAGAAGATGGGTTTGATCGAGAGAGAAGTGAAAAAATTCGAAGCAAAACGCGAGAAAAAAGAAACATCAGAAATAAAGACTGTTAGAGGAAGTGATGAGTCGCCTCAAAAAACAATTTCACAGAGGATATCAAAAGTTGAAGGAAAAACGAGAAAGGTTGCAGAAAATAAAAAGATTGAATCTGAGTCGAAGAAAATTGAATCTGATACCAAAGATGGTAAGAAAGTTGATGAAACCAAAGAAGGTAAGAAAATTGATGACATGAAGAAAAAAATTGAAAAGCCCGAGAAGCAAGAAGGCGAAACGAAAAAGACTGATGTTATTAAAGCGGAAACTGAAAAGACTGTTAACAAGGAACAGAAACCGAAACCAGAACCAAAGAAGAAGGACGTTAAAGATGTTAAACCTATTGTGAAAACGATCAAACCCGAACCACCAAAACCAAGTGCTAAACCAATAGAGAAGAAGATTATGAAACCAGCTGATAAGAAAGATGTCAAATCATCACCAACGACACCAAAGAAAACTCTCAATGGAACTGCTACCAAAACGGAAATATCAAAAACAACACCTAGAGTCTCCATGAAACCAATTACCAAAGCACCATCTACTGCTCCAGCTAAAAGTGCAAAAGATGCCAATAATAGAAAAGTTGTTGAGCAAAAGAATATAGAGATGGCTGGATCAGTTGCTTCGGCATCAAAAGCACCAAAAATAAAGCCCGTCGAGAGAAAACCAATCAGTCGTCGAACAAAACCCGTGAGTCCCAACAAAGCCAGAGTTCCCATTAGTCCAGCAAAATCAACAAGAAGTACACCAACCACATCTGTTAAATCCGATAAGGATGGCGTAATTAGAAAAGTCAAAGGTGACAAAGGAACAACTGACTCTTCCACCGTGTCAACACCTTCCGGTATTGAGCCAGATTCAGTTATAAGACTTGCCGAAAAGAATCTAACCGAAAAATCCGAAGACATGTCATTGGATTCAATTGAAAGTAAAGTATTGGCTGATCTTAAGGAAGAAAGAGAGGTTGTTGAGGAGATTGAAGCAGTTCTACAAAAAGCCGAGAGAATAGAAGAAGCCAGAAAAGAGGAACGATTCGAGGGCGATGATGATATTACCGCTGAAGCTACTGATAAGAAAGAAGAAGACATGACTGAAGAGGATGTGACAGCTGAGATTGAAGATGCACCGAAAAAAGATAGTTCGAGAAAAGCCAGTCAGGAATTAACAGAGGAAGATGAATATTTAATTGTTGAGAAAGAGGAAATTTACACAGAGGACTCCGCTCAGAGTGGCGAAGGCGAACAGAAGCATTTTCTGGATGAAGTTGAATCAGAGAAAGCTAAAATACTCATGGAAAAGAAAATGCATCAAGATGATGAGGCTGAGGAGAAGAAAGATGAGATTCCTGAGAAGAAGTTAGATTTTGCTGAAACATCGGCCATTAAAAGGGAGGAAAGACGAGCTTCAGAGTTATTGTCTCCAGAACATAAGGAACAGCTCAAGGAAGAGATGAAGGAAATTATCGCATCAGCTACAGAAGTTGTTCAAAAGTCCGAAGAGAAAGATGATTCCGGAAAGAAAGACAGTGAGGACATAACAAAAGAACCTTCCAGTTTGAGTCCCGATAAGTTGGATTCTTCCGAAAAGAAAACAGATACTGACGTGAAACCTGAACTCGATCAAAAGGAATTAATACCCGAAAAAATGGAAGAGTCTCAAGAAAAAATATCGACACTTGAATCTGGTGCAACGACAACTGCTCCCACTCTTCCAGAAGATGAGCGAATCACTTTGGATGATATTAAAGAAGATATTGATGAGAAACATGTAGCTGAGGAAGTAAAAGAAAAAGTTGTTGCTTCAAAAGTAGAGGAAGTTATTCCGGTCGAATTGCCAGCACCCGTTGTTCGTCAGTCCATTCCAGCTCATCAGCGAGACTCTGTTAAAACTCCAGACGAAGTTGCTGATCTTCCAGTTCATGAAGAAGTTGATCCTAAACTTTATGCAATAGATGGCTTTAGTAAGGACAGCAAGGATGAAAAGGCTCAGTCTCCTCAGGATCCTAAGGGACCTTCCACTCCTTCAGCAAAGGAACAAAAAGGTGTATTCAGTTTCTTTGGAAAAGTTGCCGATAAATTTGAAAAGGGAATTGACAAATTAACCAAGAAGAAAAAAGATTCGGATAAAGATGATGATAAATCATCGTCGAAATCCAGTTCTCCAAAGGATCATAAACCAGAAGCAGCTGACTTTGAAGAAGTTGATATGGATAAAGTTTTCCAAAAAGTAGGAAAAGTTCATGAGAAAGCTGAAGTTTTCGAACAAGTCGAACCAATAGTGCACGACGTAAAGATGGCAACAATAAAAGAAACTGCAACATTCTTACAAGAGGAAATTCAAGATCTTCGAAGAACAAGTATCCCTGATCTAGAAGCAAAAGCTGTGTGTACGACTGTTGATGATGTCGAAGCAGAAAGAGTCATTCATGATGATAAATCACCTCTTGAAGAAATGAAAAATAAAACTTCACCCAAGCAAGAGAAGAAAGAAGAATCAGAAGATGCTGAAGGCATCGAAGAAGTTGAAGCACTAATAAAGGAATCGTCCAAGAAATTTAAATCTGTTAAAGACAGTCTCAGAGATTCTTTAGAGTCCCTTGAAGATAAGGGTCCAAAAGAGAAGGGAATTAATTTAGCTGATCTTCCTCCGCCAACTGACATTATCACAGACACTTTAACTGGGGTTGCTGAAAAATTAGAAGAAATAAAACCGTCAATCGAATCTGTTTCTCCCATTTCCAAAGAGCCTGAGAAAGTCAAGTTCTCTATTCCTGAAGATGTTGAACTTGATGATGAAGCAGCTGATGAAGACGACGACGATTATCACATTCCGGATCTGAAAGAAGCTGTACGAGATGTTGGCGAAGTCCTAGCTGGTACTGCTGGAATTCATTTTGAAGAAAAGCCCAAAGATGTCGTTGAAATTGTCAAAAAAGTTGCTGAAGTCCTTAAAGAAGACGATTTCTTATCGGAGAAAGCTCTTTCGGAGATTCCCAAAAAGGAGGAAGAAGGACCATCAGCTTTGGATACGAAATTAATTGAAGAAACGAAAGCAAAAGTTGAAGAACCCAGACCAAGTTTAGGAGACATTATGCCAAAGAAAGTAGGGGTCACTGAACAATTACCGTCTCAGGAAGAAGTTGAGGAGATGATAGTAAGTGACTTTGTTAAGCCTTTACCAGTTTATGAATCAGCAACCGGAGTTGAGGTTCAAGAGGAACCTTGTATGAAAGTTATCAGAGATACTAAAATCACTTCTCCAGCAAGAGAGGAAGCACCAGATCGAGAAGAAATTCTAGCAATGGGATCAGGATTGCTGTCAGATGTTAACATTTGCGAAAGAATGGGTGTATGTGCTGATAGAGAATTAATGGATGTAATGGACGCTGGATTGGAACAAATTTGTACCAAAACAATTCTTCCCCTCAAGCTTGAAGATACTGATACCAAAGAAGAAATAGAATCATCTGAGATTGGATTTGAGCAAAAATTATCACCAGCAAAGGCAGAATTGGTTATAGTCACTCCTGGATCAACGCCATCGTCTCCTAAATTTATAGAGAAGATATCTGATCAAGAAGTACAGAAAGCCTTAAAACTTGATACTTTGCTATCGGATCATTTAAAGCAGGTAATTAATCAATCGGAAAGTGTTGATGAAATAATTGAAGAAATCATCACATCGAAGAAACAAAAGATTACAACGGAAATTATAGAGTATATTATGTTCATAAAACGTATTTCTAGAGAAAGGATAATTGAAATAATTGAAAATGTAATTATCAGACGAGGCATTCGTCGTGAGAGTGCAATGGATATTGAGGATATTATAAAAACCGAAGTGGTAATTAGTCCTCAAAAGAGAACAGATGTTGAAGATTATATTGAAAAAGAGTTTGTTAATAAAGGAAAGAAAATTACTACATTAATTATCGAGGAGATCTCATTGTTAAAAATAATTCCCAAAGATGTTATTATGGAGATTATTGAGAGTATCATAATCAAAAGAAAAATTACTAAAGATTCGGTGCTTGATGTAGCCGATGAGAAAACTCAGGAAGTTAGCTCAGAAGATGTTCCTTTGCAAGAGACAATTGTTGATCAAAAACTAAAATCAATAACGGAAGTTGTCGAGAAAAAAGAAGTTCCACATATTGAAAGTGCTTTGGATATTGAAGATGAACTTGTTGAAGGATTTGTTAGTATTCCTTCTAAAGATGCTGTCACGGCTTTCATAAGTGAAGAAAGAAGAGGTACCCATGAAGAATTAGCTGTTGAAGCCAGAGGTTCCCCATCAGGCAAGACTCTTTCAGAGAAAGATGATTTTGAAGCTGTTGAGAGAGAAGAATATAAAGTCAGTGGTTCGATACAGTCACCAGATATATCGAGAAAATTGAGTGAATCAAAAACAGAAGAAGAAGAAGACTCGAGTGATGTAATTGAAGCTGATGAAAAATTTGTGAGAGAAACTAAAGAGAAAGAAGGAAAGGAGTTTGAACTTGATGACATCAAAGAAGTGGTGGAGGAATTTGATGTTCGAGTTCGTGATACTGAAGTTTCTGAAGCATCAGAAGTTGTTGATGCTACTGAAAAGTATCTTAATGAAGCCAAAGAAAAAGTTGTTGCTCCAATGAAAGAATTTGATGACAAAAAAATTCAGGATGTTGACAAAGTCATTTCAGAAAAAGAATCAGTTATTAGTTCGTCTGCAGCTATTGATGAAAGAAAAAAGAGTATTTCTGAAAAAATTGCTAATAGAGTTCCATTAACTGAAGAAGAGCAGGAAATTTTTGATCAGGATCCACAGGATGCGGCGGTACGTAAAATGTTTGTAACAGCTAGTAGTGAAGATGGTGGACACGAGACAGAGATTTGTGCTCCAGGGACAATTACATTCACAAAAACCGTGACACCGGATGATTCTTTAAAAGATGTTTCTACTAAGTCTACTCCAGAAAAAGATTCTTTGGTGATGGACAAGGATTCTTTGCATTCCGAAGAAAGTTCACTAGAGAAAGACAGTATTTCTGATAAATCGCCACTACAAGCTAAAGAAAAAGTTTCTCCAGTTGATAGTTTAGATAAGTCACCAGTTGGTACTCGTGATTCTCAGGATCTAGATGATAGTTTAGAAAAAAGGGATGAATTGACTGAAAAAACTCCAGAAAAATCGCTTACAAAGGAAGAAGAGTTGAAAAAAGTAATGCATCTTGACGATCTGAAGCCTATGGAATTAGATAAGTCAGGTGATATTTCTCCTGCTGATAGTGTTTTTTCGAAAAGTCCCAGTGAAAAGCCATCAATTCCTGACCAAACATCAATTTCTGAAACACCAGATCAAGCGAAAATTCCCTTTACTGAGGAAGATACAATAAAAGATTTACCTAAATTAGATGCTGAGAAATCTCTTGATAAATCTCGCTTCACAAGTATTGTAAGCGTTAAGGACGAAGAAAAACCTATTGATCGGTCTAGATCAACAAGTATTATCAGCGAAAAAGAATATCAACGAGAATCACGAACAGGAAGTATTGTAGGTGAAGAGTTAGATCTTAAAGAAGGCAAAATTTCTGATGAAAAGCAAGAATTAAAAATCGATGAGGATGAAGCAGCAGCAGACCGATCAAAGTCTCCGAGCATTGCAGGAGATAAGCCTGATGATAAAGACATTATTGTTGAAGTTAAATCCAGATCTGCAAGTATAGCTGGTGAAAAACCGGTAATAGATATAAAACATGATAAGGAATCATCTGATCCTTCAATATCTCCAAGTGTGGCTGGTGAAAAAAAGGATTTAATAGAAGAAAAAGTTTCAAGGTCATCCAGCATTGTAAGCGAAAAATCGGAAACAAAAGATTCTTTAGAAAAGTCAAAATCTCCAGTATTGAGTGATAAATCTGACGAAAAGGAAGCTCTTGATCGATCTAAGTCTCCTAGCATTGCTGGTGATAAACCAGATGATAAAAATTTATTTGAAGAGGTAGACAGTAAATCAAAAACCTCAAGTATTACCAGTGAGAAACCTGATTTAAAAGAAGTTTCTGATCGATCAAAATCTCCAAGCATTGTTGGAGATAAACCAAGTGATAAAGATATTATTGTTGAAGTTAAATCCCGATCTGCAAGTATAGCTGGTGAAAAACCGGTAATAGATGTAAAACATGATCAGGAATCATCTGATCCTTCAATATCTCCAAGTGTAGCTGGTGATAAACCAGATGAGGGAGATTTCATTGAAGAACCTCTTGTTAAATCCAGAACGGCCAGTATTTCCAGTGAAAAAGCAGATCACAAGGATGTTGATCCATCAAAAGTTGCCAGTATTTTAGAGGATAAGCCTTCTGCTAAAGAAGAAACTAAAGAGGCTGAAGTTAAAGATAAAGATAAAGATTCCAATCAAATTAAATCACCAGCATTGAGTGCTAAGCCTTTGGATAAGGATTTAATAGAAGAAAAATTTTCAATATCATCAAGCATTATTAGTGAAAAGCCTGAGATAAAGGATATTTTAGGAGAGTCAAAATCTCCAGTACCCAGTGATAAGTCAGATAAAAAAGAATCTCTGGATAGGTCGAAATCACCTAGCACAACTGGTGATGAATCATGCGAAAAGGATTTAATTGAGGAATCATCCGACAAGTCTCGAAAATCAAGTATCACTAGTGAGAAACCAGATGCAGAAAGTAATAAACCTTCAGCAATTGATATTGATAAATCGATTGAAAAGGAATCGAGAGATATTTTTAAACCCTCTAGTATCGCAAGTGATAAAACTATTGTAAAATCTACTGATCAGAAAGATACGGATAATCGAGCACTGCTGGATTCTAAAGATGATGAACCAAGTGATCGTTCTAAGTCACCTAGCATTGCTGGTGATAAAGAAAATGAAAAAGATTTTGTGGAATTCAGCAAGTCAAGATCATCTAGCATTGTTAGTGAAAAACATACACCAGAACCGTTAAGAAAATCTTCTTTGCTAGCAGACACCAAATACGATGAGAAATTCGAAAAAGATCAATTTGAATATCTCAGATCAGGTAGTTTAATGAGTGATAAACTGGATGAGGATTCTATTGACAGAACTAAATCACCAAGTTCAACCAGTGACAAGTCCGATGATAAAGATACATTAGAAAGATCGAAATCACCAAGTATTGATGGTGATAAACAGGATTATGATGGAGATCGAGGTAAATCTAGATCTCCAAGTGTAATTAATGAAAAAGTCGATCATGATAAATTGTTAGAAAAAGATGAATTGAAAGTCGATGATCGCGATAGGTCAAGATCATCAAGTTTTGGCAGTGGTATAGTTGAAGAAAAAGAATCCGCATTAGAAACAGAAGCAGTTCCTGATGTTGATTCTAAAAAACAGTCTGATAAAGAGGAAATCAGATCCAGGTCATCAAGTATCATTAGTGAGCAGCATGATGAACAGAAGCTCAGATCTAGGACATCAAGTATCACTAGTGTAAAACATGATGAGAAGGAACTTACATCAACGAAAGCTACTCCTCATGTTGATACTGAGAAAAAGGTTGATAAAGATGAAATCAGATCTAGGTCGTCAAGTATCGTCAGTGAGAAGCATGATGATGTGAAGCCTCGATCTAGATCATCAAGTATCGCTAGTGTAAAACATGATGAGAAAGAACTTGCATCAGCAACATCAGCGACTCCTCTTGCTGATTCTGAGATAAAGTTTGATGAAGATGAAATCAGATCAAGGTCATCAAGTATCGTCAGCGAGAAACATTTTGAAGAGAAACCTAGATCTAGATCATCAAGTATCGCTAGTGTAAAACATGATGAGAAGAAACTTACATCGACAACAAAAACGGCCCCTCATGTTGATTCTGAGAAAAAGCTTGATAAAGATGAAATTAGGTCTAGATCATCAAGTATCACTAGTGTGACACATGATGAGAAGGAACTTACATCAATAACAAAAACTGCTCCTCTTGCTGATTCTGAGAAAACGATTGCTGAAGATAAAATTAGGTCAAGATCGTCAAGTATCGTCAGTGAGAAGCATGATGATCAGACGCATAGATCTAGAACATCTAGTATCGCTAGTGTAAAACATGATGAGAAGGATCTTACGTCAACAACAAAAACTGCTCCTCATGTTGATTCTGAGAAAATGATTGATAAAGATGAAATCAGGTCCAGGTCCTCAAGTATCGTTAGTGAGAAGCATGATGACGAGAAACCTAGATCAAGATCATCAAGTATCGCTAGTGTGAAACATGATTTTAATGAACTTTCATCAGCAACAACAGCGGTTCCTCTTGCTGATTCTGCGAAAAAGGTTGTGAAAGAGGAAATCAGGTCCCGGTCGTCAAGTATCGTCAGTGAGAAGCATGATGATTTGAAACTGAGATCTAGATCATCAAGTATCGCTAGTGTGAAACATGATGAAAAAGAACTTGCATCTAAAACAGAAGTTGCTTCTAATGTTACTGTTGATCAAAAAATTGAAAAGGATGAAATCAGATCAAGATCGACGAGTATAGTCAGTGAAAAGCATGATGACCAGATGCCTAGATCTAGAACATCAAGTATCGCTAGTGTAAAACATGATGAGAAGGAACTTACATCAACAACCAAGGCTACTTCTCATGTTGATATTGAGAAAAAGGTTGAGAAAGAGGAAATTATGTCTAGGTCATCAAGTATCGTCAGTGAGAAGCATGAAGACAAAAAGACGAGGTCTAGAGCATCAAGCATCGCTAGTGAGATACATGATGAAAAGGATCTTGAGTCTGTAACAAAAGCTGCTTCTCATGTTGATTTAGATAACAAATTTGAAAAAGAAGAACATAGGTCAAGGTCTTCAAGTGTTGTTAGTGAGAAGCATGATGACAAGAAGCCTAGATCTCGAACATCTAGCATTACTAGTGATAAATCTGACGATAAGGAACTCGTCTCTGCAAAAAAAGTTTCAGAAAGTTTTCCTCATTCTGATAAATCGGTTGAACAGGAGGAAATCAGGTCAAGATCATCAAGTATCGTCAGTGAGAAGCATGATCCACGTGTTGTCAATTTACCTAGAGCAGAATCACCAACACATGATCAAACGCCTAAAGATCGATCTCGATCTCACAGTTTGTTTGAAGGGGCTGAGAAAACACCTTTAACCAGATCAAGAACTGGTAGTTTATTTGAAGATAAACCTGTTGAAAAGATTCATCTTATGGAGCAACTGAGTGGAGCTTTGGAAGATTCAATTCATTCAACTATTCTAGAAGAGAAAGATGAGATAAGAAGCTCAACAGAGAAACTTCCTGGATCCAGGAAGCAGAGTGAAGCAGAGATTTCACTATCAAAGGAACCTGTGAATTATCAAAAGGACTTAAGTGAATCAAAGTCGCAAATAGTACCTGATGTAGAAGACGTTTCGCAAGTGGATCCTAATGAAAGGATATTGTTAGAAAATTATGTGGCGCATGAGTTTTTGGGTAAGAAGAAAAAAATAAGTGCACAAATACTGGATGAAATGAGTGTGGCTCATTCACTTCCAAAATCAGTGATAAAAGAAATAATTTTGAATATGAACATTCCTAGAGATATTATTGGATTTGACCAAGAAGAGCAATTTTCTGACTCGGACGATGATGACGTGTTGGGAAAGTTGCAGGCGGATACTTTAAAAAATATAGAGAAATATATCATTGATACTTACATTGACAAAAATAAGAAGTTGTCCTTGAAAGTAGTGGATGAAATCGCGAGTGTTAATTTAGTTTCAAGGAGAATTATTATCACAATTATCGAACAGATTATTCTAGTAAAAAAATTAACGAGACAAAACATTCTCGACAGTGATATTTTAGAGCTTGAAAAACCTTCAGTTGAAGGGATAGATACTATTGTCGAATCACAGACCATTGAAGAAAAAAGTTCCGAATCAAAAGTTGGTGACGGGATCACTGCTGTGCCTGATTCGAAGCGGTCTAGTCTAGCTAGTGTTAAGGATCACGAAGACATTAAGAGCGATCTCATACCACATGATACGGAGGATGTAGCTGATAAATCACTCACAATGGAGCAAGATGTTCAAGGCCTTAAACCCATTTCCAAGAGTCCTAGTCCTGAAGTGGAAGAATCCTCTTCTCGATCAGTTTTCCAGCAAAGTTCCGATCTCTTGGAAACACAAATTCCTGAGGAGATATCTATATCGGAAGAGAAGCGCACAGAGGTAAAAAGTCTTTTGATAGAAGATTATATAACCAAGGGAAAGAAAATTACCGAGATATTCCTCCAAGAGATCATCAATAGAACCCGGGTACCTCGATACATCATTTTAGAAATAATCGATGAAATTATTTTTAATAAGAAATTATCAAGAGATAGTGTGATTGACAAATTATTGTTTCTGGAGGAGGACGATTCTCTTGAACGATCCCTCTTATCCACTCCAGATAGAAAGTCTTCCGGATATTCAACACCAGAAATTAAGCATTACGATGACAAGGTGACCAAAACAATTCCCTCGTATGTTGCTGATTATGAAAGTCCTTTCCATAAAGCATTTGTCGGCGGCATGACTGAAATCAGAACAACACATATTACAACTCTTTCTGGAAAATCAACTCCGGATCTAGGAGGACGGGCTGATACTCCAGAGTCTACTTCTGATGTTACTAGTACAACGGGAACTACTTCCCAGGACGTTACAGAGAAAAAGCATGAAATGAAAACGATTCAACCTGATGGTTCAAGTAAAACTGATGATGATGATTTGAAAACTACGGTTCTTAAAACAACACATTTAACTAGTCAATTTGAAAAGACTGAGGATCTAGTTGATTTACCAAAAACTGTTAAACAAGAAGTTGTGGTTTATGAGGAAGATCCAGATGTTTTGGAAACTGTGACAACCAAAACTACAAGAACTGTAATAATCGATGAAGGATCTGGAGAGACAGTTGTCACATCTGAAATCGGGAAGCCAGAACTCTTCACTTGCATCATTTCTCGCGATGGAACTCCACAAGTCACCTCAGATGTTGTGACGAAAGTTATTAGCAGAGAAACCACTCCTGAGATTACAACTGATGTCAAGAGAATCGTGACAACTGTTACAACCGTCACTGATTCCAATGGGAAAGTCACGACTATGAAAGATGTGACACAAACATCTGAAACATTGGATAGAGAAGAGCTTTTAGATAAACTTATTGATTCATCTCAAGGAGATAAGGCAATCAAGTCAGAAGTAAAATCCCAGGGTGCACTAAAATCCGATAAAATGATGAAAGAAACAACCGCAACTCTAACTTCAACATCTGGTGTTTCAACACCTGATGTGAAAATGTTCTACGATTCTGGAAAATCAACACCTGATCATCAAGAAGAAAAACTCGAGGTACTTGGTAAAACATCTGCTGAACGTCTAGAACACTCGATTTCTCCATTGGTACGCGACTTAGTATCAGATGAAAGGAGTTACTCTGGAAAATCTTCACCAGACATGTCGCTTCCAAAGGACATTGCTTACAGTGGATCCACTGGAAAATCAACACCAGATATTCCTATTTCACCGTTGATAAGGGATGGTGCACATCCTTCTGGAAGATCAACACCTGATAAACGGCTGGAAGGCAGGTCCAGAACAAGCACACCTGAAGGATTTCGGTCAGGTGAAGTTATAAGAACGACAATTACAACCACCAGAACTATGTCTGACGATGGAGAGATAATCACAACTACTAAGGAAGTTACAGAAGCTACCAATGAAAAAGGTGAAACTGTCGTGATTACAGAAAAAACAGATGTGAAAGTTGATAATCATCTACCAGAGAGTATTGGAAATGTCATTGGAGAGTTGAAATCGGCCGATATTCAACGAGGATCAAGTCCAGGATCAGATGCAATGAGTGAAAGGGACGCTGGACCAACAAGTCCACGTAGTGATCAAAGCAGTAGTCACAGCAGAGCAGCAACTCACGTCTGGGGTAGCAGTGAAGAAAGGCACACTTATTCTGATGATGAACCACCTAGTTCTCCACTTTCAACAACTTCACACGTTGGACAATCTCCTCGTCACTATGAAAACCAATCAATGACCAGCAGCTTCTACGGTGAATTGCCAACCACCGTAACCAAAACTGAAACTAGCGTTCGCTTCAGTGATCCTCAAACCGAAACCAAAAAGCTAACTGTCGAAATGGAATTCACAGGTGGATTCAGCGAAAAATCAGATTCCAAAAAGTTTATTGACGAAGCTGACTTGGATTCAGATAAAATTTTATTAGAAGAAAAGGACACGAAGGCTGGAACTTCTGTCGCATCTTCCCAAGATAAGGATGATAAAGATAAAGATGATCCAATTGCCGGTTGGGGCAGTCCTTTAGGTTTACCTTCACCTGAACCGCCAAGAAAATTTAATTTACGAACTCTTGTTCAACGGGACTTGAAGGATGATAAAGATGAATTTGATCCAATTGCTGATTGGGGAAGTCCTTTAGGTTTACCTTCACCCAAACCACCGAGAAAATTTAATTTACGAAGTCCTGTTCAACCTAGTAGCAGTTCCTGTGATCTGTCACCAGACAGCTTGAATTTTGATCTCCATGATTGGGGCGAGCCATTGAAATTACCTACTCCGATTCCATTGCCGAATGAGGTTTCTAATAAAGCATCTCCCGCAACTCCAAAAAAAGAGCGAAAACAAACGAAAAAAGTTATTTCAGAAAATATAAAAAATAAAAAACGGTCTGAGAGTCCTATTAAAAATGAGAAGAAGTTGAAGGACTCAAAGAATAAAGTTCAACCCGTTTACATGGATTTGACATATGTTCCTCATCATGGAAATTCTTACTATACGGCTTTGGAATTCTTCAAGAGAGTGAGAGCAAGGTATTACGTTTTCAGTGGAACTGAACCCAGTCGTGAAGTTTATGACGCTTTGCTAGAGGCGAAGAAAACTTGGGAAGATAAAGATTTAGGTAAGTTTATCTACCTCCATTTCATTCATTTATGTTTTATTCCTTCTACATATTTTTTTTAATGACCTTTTCTTCAATATTTTCTCTACTCCTTATTTCTTCATCTATTTCACCTCTTCTTCTACTTAGTTCTACAAAATAAATATTCTACACAAGGGGGAAATAACTAAAAAAAATTTGGTGTACACTTAATTCATAATTCATGATAATTCACGATACTTCAGATAATTCAGGATAATTCATAATACTTAAAGTTAATTCAAGATAAATCACAGTAATTTGAGATAATTCAAAATAATTCATGATAATTCATATAAAAGATAATAATTTATATACTTCAAGTTAATTCAAAATTATTCATAGAAATTCGAGATAATTCGAAGTAATTCGAGATAATTCAAAGTAATTCAAAGTATTTCAAAGTAATTCAAAATAATTCGTAATAATTCGAGATAATTCAAAGTAATTAAAGATAATTTATGATAATTCATGGTAATTCATATACTTCAAGTTAATTCAAGACAATTCATAGTAACTCGAGATAATTCAAGATAATTCATGATAATTTATGATAATTCAGATAAAGAATAATTCATATATTTCAAGTTAATTCAAGATAATTCGTAGTAATTCGAGATAATTCAAAGTAATTCAAGATTATTCATAATAATTTAAAGTAATTCATTATACTTCAGATAATTCAGGATAATTCATAATACTTCAAGTTAATTCAAGATAAATCACAGTAATTTGAGATAATTCAAAATAATTCATGATAATTCATATAAAAGATAATAATTTATATACTTCAAGTTAATTCAAAATTATTCATAGAAATTCGAGATAATTCGAAGTAATTCGAGATAATTCAAAGTAATTCAAAGTATTTCAAAGTAATTCAAAATAATTCGTAATAATTCGAGATAATTCAAAGTAATTAAAGATAATTTATGATAATTCATGGTAATTCATATACTTCAAGTTAATTCAAGACAATTCATAGTAACTCGAGATAATTCAAGATAATTCATGATAATTTATGATAATTCAGATAAAGAATAATTCATATATTTCAAGTTAATTCAAGATAATTCGTAGTAATTCGAGATAATTCAAAGTAATTCAAGATTATTCATAATAATTTAAAGTAATTCATTATACTTCAGATAATTCAGGATAATTCATAATACTTAAAGTTAATTCAAGATAAATCACAGTAATTTGAGATAATTCAAAATAATTCATGATAATTCATATAAAAGATAATAATTTATATACTTCAAGTTAATTCAAAATTATTCATAGAAATTCGAGATAATTCGAAGTAATTCGAGATAATTCAAAGTAATTCAAAGTATTTCAAAGTAATTCAAAATAATTCGTAATAATTCGAGATAATTCAAAGTAATTAAAGATAATTTATGATAATTCATGGTAATTCATATACTTCAAGTTAATTCAAGACAATTCATAGTAACTCGAGATAATTCAAGATAATTCATGATAATTTATGATAATTCAGATAAAGAATAATTCATATATTTCAAGTTAATTCAAGATAATTCGTAGTAATTCGAGATAATTCAAAGTAATTCAAGATTATTCATAATAATTTAAAGTAATTCATTATACTTCAGATAATTCAGGATAATTCATAATACTTTAAGTTAAATCAAGATAATTTATAGTAACTCGAGATAATTCAAAGTAATTCAAGATAATTCATAATAATTCAGATAATGAATAATTCATATATTTCAAGTTAATTCAAGATAATTCGTAGTAATTCGAGATAATTCAAAGTAATTCAAGATTATTCGAGATAATTTAAAGTAATTCATTATACTTCAGATAATTCAGGATAATTCATAATACTTTAAGTTAATTCAAGATAATTCATAGAAATTTAAGGTATTTCAAGCTAATTCATGATAATTCAGATAAAAGATAATAGACATACTCCAAGTTAATTCAAGATTATCATAGTAATTCGTGATAATTCAAAGTAATTTAAGATCATTCATGGTAATTCATATATTTCAAGTTAATTCAAGATAATTCGTAGTAATTCGAGATAATTCAAAGTAATTCAAGATTATTCGAGATAATTTAAAGTAATTCATTATACTTCAGATAATTCAGGATAATTCATAATACTTTAAGTTAATTCAAGATAATTCATAGAAATTTAAGGTATTTCAAGCTAATTCATGATAATTCAGATAAAAGATAATAGACATACTCCAAGTTAATTCAAGATTATCATAGTAATTCGTGATAATTCAAAGTAATTTAAGATCATTCATGGTAATTCATATATTTCAAGTTAATTCAAGATAATTCGTAGTAACTGGTAGTAATTCGAGATAATTCAAAGTAATTCAAGATTATTCATAATAATTAAAAGTAATTCATTATACTTCAGATAATTCAGGATAATTCATAATACTTTAAGTTAAATCAAGATAATTTATAGTAACTCGAGATAATTCAAGATAATTCATAATAATTTATGATAATTCAGATAATGAATAACTCATATATTTCAAGTTAATTCAAGATAATTCGAAGTAATTCGTGATAATTCAAAGTAATTTAAGATCATTCATGGTAATTCATATACTTCAAGTTAATTCAAGATAATTCGTATTAATCGATGTAATTCAAAGTAATCCAAAGTAATTGATAATAATGATAATTTGCAATACTTCAGACAATTCAGGATAATTCATGTATTTCAAGATAATTCTGGATAATTCAACACAAGTGTACACCTTAAGGTCAGGTCCAAGTGAGGCAGCGCCATCTACATTGAAACTAAAATTTTGGAAAATTTTCAACAGCCTTTTCTTGGAAACAAGAAGGTAAAATGCTTTTTCCTTCATGGATAATTGATTATTGGCAAGATATACACCAGCTAAAACTTTTTTTGAGTTAAAATAATAAAAAAAATTTCATGTCAATAAATTAAATATGAGCACTTTTTTCACAAAAACTGTAACAGTACTTTCTCAGAAATTACAATCAAAAATGCAATTTCCATTTGGAAAATTAATAAACGCTAAAAAATACACTACCTAAGATTTACCAATCACGAAAATAACAAAAAAAAAGTTTTTTAACATAACATATTTTACTCATTATGACAGCCGTTTGGCAGGTTATATATGTCACCAGACGTTTCGCGGTTTTGCCGAAAGGAGGAGATTGGCGCTGTTGCTAACCACCTGAAATACATAATCTACCAAAGGGCTGTCACAATCAGTAAAGCAGTATCAATATGTTAAATATTTAATAAAATTTTTTTTTGTTATTTTCGTGATTGGAAAATCTTAGGTCGTGTATTTTTTAGCGTTTATTAATTTTCCAAATGGAAATTGCATTTTTGATTGTAATTTCTGAGAAAGTACTGTTACAGTTTTTGTGAAAAAAGTGCTCATATTTAATTTATCAACATGAAATTTTTTTCATTATTTTAACTCAAAAAAAGTTTTAGCTGGTGTATATCTTGCCAATAATCAATTATCCATAAAGGAAAAAGCATTTTACCATCTTGTTTTCAAGAAAAAGCTGTTGAAAATTTTCCAAAATTTTAGTATCAATGTAGATGACGCTGTCTCACTTAGACCTGGCCTTAATTCACAAGTTACTTCGCCCTCGATTCTGCAGAATAAGATTCTATCAAATGTTGTGTAATCTCATTGAGAATTTGTATAGGTGTGACAAATGAGGGGCTGATAGTAAAAATGGTTTAAAATAACATTGGGAGCAAAAGTGGGATAAGTGACTTGGGAGCAAAAACGGGTTAAAATGATTCGTGTAATTTATTGATAAATTCATTATATTAATGATTAAAAAATATTAACAATAGGAAAAAATGCATATTTTATTATAATTAATATTTTTTAATCGATAATATAATGAATTTATCAATAAATTACACGAATCATTTTAACCCGTTTTTTCTCCCAAGTCACTTATCCCTCGTTTGCTCCCAATGTTATTTTAAATCATTTTTACTATCAGCCTCTCAAATATGTCCCATAAGTGTGAAAGTGTTAACTTTTTATGAGAAATTGTAATCTTTAATATTTTTGTTAAAATTTTTTTTCTTATATTTTCGGGTTTATATTGCAGAGGTAACAATGATTCCAACGTACGACACAGACACATTAGGATATTGGGTGGCAGATAATGAGGAGGCATTGGCAGCTCATCACATAGACCTCTCACCATCGGCATCACGATGCACAATCAATCTTCAAGATCATGAGACGAGTTGCAGTGCCTATCGACTCGAATTCTAGGGAATAGCAGGCTGCTCAGCCTTCATAGTCGAGTTCTGAGCCGCGTCCAGACAAACTTCCAATTCACTTTCTGGATCATTCATTCCATTGGAGATTGATTTTAGATCAATCGATCGTCCCGTCCCGTGGCTCCCGAAAATTGTACTCGCTACTTTAATAAGAAAAAAAAACGTGGACAGGCAATATATTTTCAAATCTCATATATTATTTACTATACATCAAACGAGGAAATTCATATGTCCCTTCTTTGTTGCGAGAGGAGAGTATGGGAGTTTTTTACTTTATTTAACAAAATTGTTGCTCTAATATTTACCATTGAATTTTTGAATAATTTTATTCGAAAAAACATTTCTTCAATCATCACCGATAATAATTACCACTCTTTTTATGAAATTATCAATAAGAATAAATTAAAAATAATTTTCTTATTTATTATCATTCAGATGATTGATAAAATTAAAAATATTTTTTTCTATTTTTTAATTTTCTTAATTAGAAAAAGGTAATTTACTGTGAAAAAAAAAATTATATAAAAAAAAAAACTTTTTTCTATTTTATTGATGAAAACATGTTTTTTCTAATAAAAGATTCAAACGCATATATAAAGAAAACGCACGATATATGAGGAGTATCGCGACGAATTTGCGCGATAGGTATTATTAACTGAATTTACAGTTGTACCTGCCGAAGCCTATAATTAAAAAGAACAATACTGAATAAACAAAGATAGAAAATACACTGGCATTCACTCGCACATAAAAAAAAAAAAAACAAGACATATTATGCACATTTTTAAAGGACTGCTTTAGTGATTGTATGACTAATACAAATATAACAATTTGAACAGTGAATGTTGATTATTGAACAGTAAATAATTGAATAATGAACAATGAGATTATTTAAATATTGAAGATAATGACTGATGCGCTGACGGGAGAAATGCACCGAAGTGACCTCGAGTTGACCTGTAGTGAACTTACCGATTATGGGACTGAATCATTGCATATTACTATATAGTTAATCCAATAAATTTATTTAGGAATTTTTAAATTTTGACGTGGACAAATCGTTATCGATAATATATGGCGTTTACGAACGAGAAGATGCTTCATTGATGCGGATTTCTCTGCTCTCATTCTCTCCTCGATCAACAAGATATAAACAGTTTAGTCTCTCGATAAGTGATCGCTAAAAAATTTTAAAGGAAAATTAATTTTCATATTAATAAATATTGAAAATTAATTTAAAGTTGTCACTTACCGAAAGTTTAATGTAGAATATGTGACTCATAAATCATGGAGTGGTAATAAAAAGAAAAAAGTGTCTTGATTCTGACACTTTATTGAAATAATCAACTCACCGAAATCTATTCAATTTAATAATTCTTAAATTTACAATTTCTCTTTTTGCAAATTACCGCTTGTTAATCGAATATCAAAAATACGAACATTTGATTCAAGTGGAAGTTCGCGATTCTACGAAAATATTTTACAAATTCTTTTCTTGAAGAAATTTTTCTTATATTATTTAAAAGTTTTTCCATGAATTATTCTAATTTAATTTGAAAGAAAAAAAGCATTTCAAGAATTCTAAAAGTTTTTCAAAAAATGAATTCAAATAATTAAAATTTGTAAAAAAATTTGAAAAAGAAATGATTGAAATCTTCAAGAAAAGTTTCTTTAATAAAATATATATATATATCTCTAAAAAAAAAAACAGCGGATAATGAGAAGTTTTAGGCGAGTACATAAGCCACTTCCTGAAACGGAAAGACTTTCCGAAAGTAGAGGTATAGACTATCAAAAATTAAAAATCCGTGGAACCATTTCCATTATTATCTGAAGTTCGAACAGCGTTCCGTTCACAGTAGCACAAGTCGCAAAACATCCATCCAAAGGACACGCCGCGATCTAAAAATGATAACGATAATTCTAATATTGCGATAATATTTCGTTTCCTCATGAATAATTGACGTATTATGAGAATCATTGTTTTTGACACAATACATCAATTGTTCATTGAATCAGATGAAATCTACTTCTAGAAAACTTAAAATTACTTACATAATATTAGATAATAGAAAAGAGTGCAAGAAGTGGTAAATGAATAGGAAAACCAAAAAAAAAAAAAAAAAACAAAAAAAGTGATTGAACTTTTGTACTTATTCCTCTGTCAACGATAACAATTACCAGTGATAATGATGAGGATAGGCTGTCGATTATATGAAGGTGATAACGCATTAAAATGACGATAATGATGATGATGATCAAGACCATTTATTATAATGAATGTCTCTTAGCGCTGTAATAGAAAAAGAAAAGATAATGCAAACAAAAGAATGTGGAGAGAATTTTTCACAAAGTTTTTAAATAGTTTTGAAAATTTTTCTATATGTTTATTTCAAATATTTATTAATTGTTTCACTTTGTTATATATTATAAATATATATAAATATATATTATATATATATATAAAAAATGAGCTATGCACTATTCTACGTTTTGAGCGATTGTGTGGCAATGTCAATTTATAAGAATTTGTGATTTTATAAAGTTAGATTTGCAAGATTTTAATAGGGGGTTATATTATGCCTTTCGCTAAGGCCTTCAGGTGCACCATTATTGCATAAATTTGACATAATTATATAAAAATAAATAAAAATCCATTTTTTAAATATTAATAAAAAAAAATTCCTATTTTTGTTTATTAAAGATGAATTTAAAGAAAATATTGTTAAAAATAGATTTTTTAAATAAAAGAAAAAATATTGAGTTTCAAAAGAAAACAGAAATTTTTTAACTTAAAAATATAAAAGAAAATTAAAATTATTAAAAAATTAAAAAAAATAATTTAACAAAAAAAAAATAAAAAATGGTGCGTCTGGAGTTTAAATTTTATGAAAATTTGAATGCTTGTAGGTAGAGTTTAATGACGTAAGATTTTTACCTAGATCAGTAAAAAAAAATAATACTATGTTACGGAACATATTATAGATTTTTTTCATTAATCGATTGAAAGTCAACGATTTTTCATGGATATCAGGGTCACGTAAGTTGAAGTTCGGAAAAAAAATAGATTTTTCTACTGCCCGCCTATTTCTTTTTTCTGGTGGTTTTTAGAAAAAAATAAAATACATTCAATCGTAATTTATAATACATAAATATTCAAACTTTGTTGCGCTAAATAATTTCCATTTATTTTTATAATTCATTAACACTTTTTATAATAAAAATAAAAAAAATGTAGATATGCGTTAATGTAAATAGGTGAAACTAAATCTTTTTTTTAAAATAGGAAAATTTTGTTAACTTATTTTGGAGGGAAGTTTTTTTTAAAAAAAAAGAGTACTCTTTCACAAGGTGAAAATTCTCTAATTAATTTTAAGTAATATGAAATTAATGACTTCAGTGAAAATTATTACTAGAAAAATTAATTTAGTTATTCAATTTATGAATTTGGAATAATATTTATTTTTTAAATAAAAATAATTAATAATTAAATTTATGTCAAAATATATCGAATTATTTTATATATAGATGAAATTTTTCTTTCGAGAAAGTAAAAATTTAAAAATTTTATTATGTATCGAATTATTATATCACCTTGTGCGCGTGTGTGTTTTTAAGAACAAAATACAAACTTGAACAATCGGCAGACATCGAGATTTAATTAATTAATAATGTTTATTATGAATTATCGCTATATTTCTACGTTGTAAAGTAATAATTAAGGTCCATGTCATCATCGTCATTATCATCGTTTCTTTTGTTTCGCGAATTAAAGCTTTTTATAACGTACATACTTACATACGAGAGAAGTTTAAAAAAAAAAAAAAAAAAAAAATTGGTGAGCAGAATACCTAAAAAATAAAAAGCAAAAGCAAAAAAGGATGAAAAAAGTATGTACTTATGTATTTATGTATTATTTATTGACAAGTAATAATGACCAGCTATCTAGGTAGGATGTTACAATTATTAAATAAAATTAAAGAGATGATAAAAGAAAACCTAAAACAGTGTCGAAGAATATTATAATACACTGGATGAGTTAAAAGCAAAACATTAAATTAGCGAGCGAGCTTTCACAGAAAATCAATTTTAGGGATGAAACTATAATATGACAGATGGAGAGCGGCAACACTATGGAAAAAAAACGTTGATTAAAAATTTTAAAACCAAAAAAAAAAAAAAAAACCCTAAATATGCGCTATGCGTACGGAATGGGAACGACGAAATTTGAATGTCAACTTTATCGGCGTATGTAATTAATTGCGTATCCGGATTTGTGGAAAGATCTTTATAGCTTACAAATAATAAAAGAGGGTAAATTTTCACGAAAATTATTACTGAAAATTTCTCTGGTCGTATATTTAAAAAAAAATGCGTAAATTCTAAGGATATTTATTGAACTGACTTTACTATTCCACCCAAATATATTAATTATAATTATTATTATATTAAAATAAAAAAAAAAATAAAATAAAATAAATTCTCTGGCCTAAAATAAAAACATCCAAATACAATATTGTAGCGTCCAATATTTTATGTCTTTCCGCATCAAACAATTTTGAACAAAAAAGATTTTTTATTGCTAATGTGCAAAAAAATAAAAGCGCCTGATTTTAATCAGCTTCAATTTTTGTTTTCTCGCGTAATAACGTATATATATAAATATGCGATATTTTTGCAAAAATCCTTTGTTCAGGATTGTGAGATTTTCGGATACGCGATAGTCTAGTCAGTAATTTTTGCGAAGTATTTCATGCGATTATAAACAAAAAAAAAAAACAAAAAAAAACAAAAAAAAAAACAAAAAAGAAAGAAAAAACCTCTAGTCATCCTTTATGTTCTCATTCCTCCAAGTGCACCAATACATCGCGTTTTCGAGTACGGAATTTAACTAAAAAAAAAAATGTACTGTGGAATGTTCATGGTGCTATATGATAAAAATTATGCTATATGATAAAAGGAATAATATAATAAATATAAACCATACCTAGAATTATTATGTTTTTTTTATTTTTTCTCCCTTGTGTACAAATTTAGAGGGCCATCAGGTTATGCGTTTTTTTCAAACCCAAAGTTTTATTATTGTTTTTTTATGTTAAAGCAAAAAAAAGGGAAAAAACAACACAACACAAATTTTTCAAATATATTCTTATAAATACCATAAAACGTTTTTTCAAAAAATAATTGTGTTCGCTCAAAAAAAAAAAACACTAAAATTACGTTAATTTTCGGAACTTTGGACTAGAACCTCCCTTTAAAACAAAGAAATACAAGTATATGGGTGATTCTCCGCGTAGCGCACGATTTGGTGTCTGAAACTTTAAAAACCGTAAAACGGTGTTATTTCGCTCATTGCGGATAAATTTGCTTACCCACTTTTATGCTTTATTTCAGCTTTAAAATAAAGTTTTTAACCTTTATTACCAGGTAAAAATGTTAAATTTGTTAATAGCAATACTAAATTTTAGTTTAAATCAAATTTAAAGCAAAAAACTGGGTGAGCGAGTTTACCCGCACTGAGCGAAATTACCCCGTTTTACGGAATATTTTTTTAACGAAATGATAAATATCAATATATATTTTTGAAGATAAAGTGTCAAGAAATAAATATCCATAGTGGGCCGGAAATTTTTTTTATAATTTTTTTAAACACATTAAAAAAAAAATTCTTTGCCTTTTGAATTCTATAAAATAGTTGAAATTTGATTTAAAATGTTTATGGGAATTTTTGGGGTAATTCACAAAAATATATATAGCGCGAACTACAATTAAAAATTTTATTTCTGTAATTTACAGACATTTTCGAGGTAATTTATGGAAATTTTTGCTATAATTCATAAAAATATGTAAAGCATAAATCGCAAATAAAAATTTTAATTTCGGTAATTTATGAAAATTTTCGCGGTAATTTATACAAAAATATAAATAGCGCGAACGACAATTAAAAATTTTATTTTGGTAATTTATGGAGATTTATGCGGTAATTTATGGAAATTTATACGGTAATTTATAGAAATTTATTTGGTAAGTTATAGTAAACTTACCGGAGCTATGATAGTTTATAATAAATATTTTTAATTTCGTTTGTCTCATTGTGTATTAAACTTGGACTAGTGACGGTCGAAATTCTGTGGCAGGTCGGTCGAACCGGTGGAACTGATGTTAATAATTTTTTTTTTTTTTTTGAGAAAATTATCATTTATTATTAATCGGTTTCATATGTTTCACATATATATATATATATAAATTAATCAGCATGTCTCTATTATTTTTTTACCTAAAAACAATAAGGAAAACCTTCAAAAAAAACCTACCAATAGAACCTAATTTTCAGTAGACTAAGAATATTCAATTTTATTCCATTTTTTGAATAGAATGTTTTCCTGGAAAGTGAAAAAAAACTTTACAAATTCAAATAAAATTAATCAGCATGTCTCTATTATTTTTTTGCTTAAAAACAATAAGGAAAACCTTCAAAAAAACCTACCAATAGAACCTAACTTTCAGTAGACTAAGAATATTCAATTTTATTCCATTTTTTGAATAGAATGTTTTCCTGGAATGTGAAAAAATTCCTTACTAATTCAAATAAAATTAATCAGCATGTCTCTATTATTTTTTACCTAAAAACAATAAGGAAAACCTTCAAAAAAACCTACCAATTAAACCTAAATTGCAGTAGACTAAGATTAATCAATTTTATTCCATTTTTTTGAATAGAATGTTTTCCTGGAAAGTGAAAAAAGTCCTTACTAATTTAAATAAAATTAATCAGAATGTCTCTATTATTTTTTTGCTTAAAACCAATAAGGAAAACCTTCAAAAAAACCTACCAATAGAACCTAATTTTCAGTAGACTAAGAATATTCAATTTTATTCCATTTTTTGAATAGAATGTTTTCCTGGAAAGTGAAAAAAAACTTTACAAATTCAAATAAAATTAATCAGCATGTATCTATTATTTTTTTGCTTAAAAACAATAAGGAAAACCTTCAAAAAACCTACCAAAAGAACCTAATTTTCAGTAGACTAAGAATATTCAATTTTATTCCATTTTTTTGAATAGAATGTTTTCCTGGAAAGTGAAAAAATCCTTATTAATTCAAATAAAATTAATCAGCATGTCTTTATTATTTTTTTACCTTAATCAATAATTATTTATTTAAAAAATTGAAGAATAATCTGCTTTTTAGTTATTATTATTAACAACATTGAGATAAGTAATTTGAAAAATTTTTCAATAACTGCTTTTTTAAAAGAGCTTTTGGAAAATTCAATATGTATGTGTTTTTTTAATAAAAAAGAATAATTAATGATTTAAAAAATTGAAAACTAATTCAATTTTTAAATATTACGTTTCACAATTTTTAAATTGGTAAATTTCAAAATTAGAAAAAAACTTTTTTTTCAGAGATTTTTTGAAAAATACATAAAAAGTATTAAATAATTATTTAGTTAAGTAATTGAAGAATAATTCAATTTTTGAACAAATATTTTTCACAACTTTGAATTTTGCAAATAGCAAAATTAGGAAATAACTGCATTTTTGTGTGTTTTTTTGTTTAAAAAAGTAAATAAACAGCAACAATTTATTTTTTAATTAGTAATAAACAATTTTAATTATTATTTATAATAAAATTAATTTAAATATTTGATAAATTACATGAGAATTTTCCAATTTTTATTCTCGTCTTTCCAAAAATGGCCTACATATAAGCAATTCATGTATTTTTCCTTACTTGTGACAACCAACTTAAACATTGTTTAAAAAACGTTTTAAACGCAAAATTTTGAATTTTCCGCACGTAACAGACGGAGTCTATGTTATTCTGAACATTTTCCAAAAGGTTTTTTTTAAAAAATATTCAAAATTGTGCTTTTCACATTCCTGAGAAGTTTGCGTGTCATGCGCCATGATTTGTGACGTCACGAAGGTTCAAGTGCTGTTAAAACTTTAAACGGTTTTGTTGAGGTCTTATCAATTAACCCATTAACACATAGAAATATCTGCAAAATCAAAATTGGAAATAGAACTGCGGCTCAAACAATGACTTTTGACGTTAAAAATTGTTTTAAATATAATTTGTTTAAACAAATTGTTATATTCAAAAATTGCGCCATACATGTCTAGTTTTGATATTTTTTTGTCTAGGTGTATTATATTTCTATACTATATTATTGAATGTGTGTGTAAGGCTGATTCGTGAAAAAATCAAGGTAAAAGATATTTTTAATATGCACTTGATTTTTTATGTATGTATATAACATTAGTAAGTTTGTTTTATGTTCTTTTATAAAATATTTTTTTTTTAACCAAGCTTCTTAATACATCTGCAGCTTTCTTCCTGGATAACTGTATATAAAATTCAGTGATATTTTTAATTTGCTGCATATTTCCATTTTTTTAGATGTAAACACAGTCTTGTTTAAATTGAATTTGAAGAATTTCATTCAGTTTTATAATTCAAAAATATCCAATTTATATAGGTATGGTTCATCATTGTTTTAAACTTCATATATAGTTGTACTTTTTAATATATTTTTTTTACACAGCCTTAAATCTTTTTGATCAAAATAATGTTATTTTTTAATTATTTTTTTTTATTTTTATCTATATCTATTATAAACAGACGGGGATTGAAATTGTCTAATATTACTTTACTGTTTTTTTTTAAATATCACAATTTTTAACAGTAAAATAAAGAAATTATAAAATGAAAAGAATATATTTATTTAATTGAAAAAAAAATTACTGAATAAAAAACGAATATTAAAAATGAGTGGAAAATTTATATTCTGTTTGTAAGTGGATATGGCTTGTTTTCAGTTTGAAAACAAACAATACGAATATGGTATTATTTGTCATACCTATATATTTTGTCTTCAATTTAACCATATGTATTTCTTATAATTATTTACATAGTCTAATAACATCTTTCATGAAAACGTTATTAAATATAATTTTACATAACTATTATCATTATTAGTGTACATTAAAAGTCAAGTATTGAAATTATTTCCTCTAGTATCACAGATTATTTGAAATAGTATAAAACTTTATTCAACTTTTAAACGGTAAAATAAAGCCATAATATAAAGTACAAAATACATATTCTTTTAATTAACTGCAAAATAAAACTGTTATTTAATTCTCCTGAAAGAATTTTTAAAAATTAAAGGTGCGTTAAATTAAAAATTTTTAAATCACAATTAAGAATCGCGATTTCTGTCTATTATAAAAAACACTTGTGCGGAAACTTTACTCATAAAATATTAAATGTATTGATCTGAAATTTTGTGGAGATGTCTAAAATATGATGAGGAACGACTGTTATTTGCGAAAATTTTGAGATTTTGTTGAAGTATTTTATACTTCAATTACGATAAATAGATTTTTTCGTTTTTAGTTCTCCATAATTATGGATATATCAAATTTTCTCAACTCTGTGCAAATTATTTATATTGCCACATTTTACATTGGATCTGTTTTAACATCTGAAAATATTCCTTCACCAAATAATGAAATTTTCAAATACACCGTATTTAATGAAAAAGAATTATCGAGAGTAAGAGAAATTACACGTCTCAAAAATTTAGAAATAGATGAGCCGGAACTTTTTTATAATTTAACGCATCCAAACAATTTTCCCAAAAACTGCACGAATTTAAATGAGAAAATGAGAAACCTTTATAATTCGACTTTTAATACTCGTAATCGCAGAAGTGACTTTAACTTTATCTTCCGACGTACAAGTGATTTTTACAATAAAGGCAATCTATCTTCTTTTGTAAGATTTGAAGATTATTTTGCACTTAAATATTACAGCATCAAGGGATACGATGAAATTCTAAAAAAATCGGATATATCTAAACGAATGAAGAATGCCCTTTACAGTGTGGCAATTACTCAATCCAGTAATCCAAATGAGAAATTTCATTCAATATTATTTAAAGGAAACAGCGAACGCAAATCGCAGTATAGAAAAAGATTTAATCAAACAGGGACAAAATTCAAATTATCTATATTTAACAAAGTAAATTTAATCCAAAAGAAAGCAGAAATTGAGGCAGAACTTACAAAAAAAGAGTCGAACAATAAATTTAATGACATGGTGGAATGTGTCTTTGAAATATATTTTTCAAAACCATATTTAAGAGTAAATCTTGATGACTATAATTATTGGAATAATATAGAGGATAATAGATATGAAACCGTTCTACTTCCAAAAACTGAATTCGTCGTTAACGAAACAATATGGAATAATGTGAACACGACAAATGAACGTTTAACAATTAAAATAATACATAACGATGAAAATATGGAATTATTTGACCAACAAAAGAAAGTGATGAGCGAATTAAAAGAACTACGAAAATCAAAAACAAAATTTTATGTATGTTAAATTACATTGTTTTTTATTACACAATATTTTTCTTCAAACCAATTCATAAAATTTTGTTGAAATAATTTGTGAGCTGATAAAAATATGTAAATTTTATTTTCTTATACATGCATGAATAATAAAAATATTGCATATTGATATTCAGTATCATTCTTTTTTTTTTATTTCTTTAGCATTTTTTCTTATAAAAACGTGTTCAATATGTAACAATCTTTTCACGTGGATCGAAGTTATGTTTTAAATTTTCAGCTTTATTAGATTAGATACTTCTATTTAAATTTTGATTATTTATGTCACCAATTCGATAAGAGAAAACTGGGTGAATATTAAACATTTTATAGAAACTCTATCCGTTACAGACTTTTTATAAACTCACAAAAAACTCATTCAGTGCGAGTTTTCAAGGAGTTTCCAGTGAATTTCCATTAATTTACTATCAGTAGAAAAAGGTATTTTTTCTATAATAAGAATGCATTCCTTATAATATATTCATAAATTTTTATTTCCATAATCTCCTTATGGTTACTTATAATTACAAATGAAAATAATGCTTTTAATATTAATGTAATGAATAAATGCACTAAAATGTAAATATCACACTATAAGGTTCTCACTTGGTTAGAATCGAGATCACAAAATATTTTTGTGTCTCGTCTTCTTATATGACATTAGAAATTAATTTCAAGTTGGTTTTTTTTTACCACTTCTTCTCGAATTATTATCTTTCGATAAGATTTTTTTATTAACTAATTACACAGGCCAAGAAAATTTTGTCCAAGAACCAGACTATACTTTTTCGAAGCATTTTGACGTGCTGAATCCAAATCTGACCTAAGAATTGACCACGTAAGGTTTTTGAGATATTCTAACTTGAGAGCATGTAACATCAAGAGATAATTTTTTTTTTAAAGAAAAAGTACTATTCGTACTCTTTAAAATACATTTTGAAACTTTAAAAAATCTTTATTTGGCTCTGAGTTAGTGTCGTCATTTGATTTTTTCGAGTTTGGTAAATGTTTCAATATCCGTAAACTGACAATGAGTAGTATCAGATAACACAGGCCGACAAGATTTACTTTCCAAGAATCTGACAATACTTTTTCGAAGGTTTTCGACGTGCAATGAATCCGAATCCAGCCTCCGAATTGACCCTGCACGTCAAGTTTTCGAGATATTCTAACCTTATAATGTGCAAAAAAATCCCTTTTTTTAACTGCATTTGAGGACATGCAACATCAAGAGACAATTTTTTTCCAAAAGGTGTATATTGTATCTGAAAGTGCTATTCTTCCTCTTTAAAACATATTTTGAAAATTTAAAAATCTTCATTTTTCTCTGAGTTCATTCAATTTTCTGAGTATGGCGAATTCTTCGATATTCCAAAATTGAATAGGAACAGATAAAATTTTGATAATACAGAAATAACAAACATCTAAATTTCAAATAGTTCAGCAGATTTTCGGTATAACTGAACACGAATTCGATGTCAAATTTTTAAAATTCAAAATGGCAGATACAATATGACGATTTTTTAAAAATCGGTTGCATTTGCTTGTAATTTGTTACTCGAGGGTTTTTGGTCTCGCTGAACACGAATTCGATGGCAGATTTTCAAAATTCAGAATAGTGGATTTAATATGGCGGACGATTTTTTTAAATTTCGAAGAATTTGCCATACTCAAAAAATTAAATGAACGATTACTCAGTGGCAGATAAAGATTTTTAAAATTTTCAAAATAGGTTTTAAAGGGGAAGAATAGCACTTTCAGATGCAATATTGACCTTTTGGAAAAAAAAATAGTCTCTTGATGTTGCATGTCCACAAATGTAGTTAAAAAACGGGTTTTTTTTGCACTTTAAGGTTAAAATAACTCAAAAATCTGACGTGCATGGTCAATTCTGAGGTCAATTCAAACCTTCGGAAAAGTGTTTACCTGATTCTTTGAAAGTAAATTGAATCAAATTTTGTTGGCCTGTGTAATACTTCAAAAATTCAAATGTCGATAACTCAAATAAGCCGAATAAAGATTGTTTAAAGTTTCAAAATGCATTTTAAAGGGTGATTAAAACATTATCTCTTGATGTTACATAACCTCAAATATGGTAAAAAAACGTCTTTTTTTTGCACTTTTAGGTTACAATATTTCGAAAACCTGACGTGCTGGTTCAATTCTGAGGTCATATTCAGATTCAGCACGTCAAAAAGATTTGGAAAAATATAGTCTGGTTCTTGGTTCGAAAGTAGGCCAAAATTTTGTCGGCCTGTGTTTCAAAAGAATGTAATTTATTTTTTAAAGAAATAAATAATAATAATTTAAAGATTAAAATTTTCTCTTAGAAGATTCTTCTTCTCTTAGAGATTATATCTCTTTTTTTAAAAAAACTAAAATTTTCTTTCAAAACATTATTTTAAAATTGGAATTTGTTTTGTAAATTTATCTCGTAAAATTACACACCTCTATTAAAATTGTACTCTCTTTTTTTTTAAATTACACTTTTAAAATGGCACTCTTATTCAAGAATTATATTCCTCTTTTAGGAATTCCATTTGTAAATAATTGAACTTTTTTTTAGAACTCCTATTCCTGAACTGGAGTTTTCATTGAATAGAAATTTAGAATTAAACCCCGTTTCTAGAAATGAGATCATCTAGAACGTAATTAATTCTCTTAGATACGGAATCAAAATCTGGTATTGTCGGGCATTTTGACAAAATAGGCAATCTGAACGTCTCTCACTTTATAATTGTGTATCCATCTGGAACCCTTTCTGAGACTTCCATCAATACCATCTCTCCAAACACCAGCTGGTAAATAGACTTCTCTCTGTCGACTTCCCGAGTACAAAATAGGAGCAACTATCAATTCTTCGCCAACTGAGAATTCATCAACGACAACGTGACAAGCCGGATCAGTTGGATCCAGCATCCACAATGGTCTTATTATTGGTAGACCAGTGTCTAAAGTATTATTTGCATATTTTTTCAGCAGCGGCGTAACAGTCTTTTGACGTAGAATTGTCAGTTGACGTGCCATATCGAGAACCTCAGAATCCGCATATTTACTTGGCAAATGGGTAAATCTAATCACGGGCAAAAAGGTTGATAATTGCAGCCATCTGACATAAAGTTCTTTATCTGGTAAACTGACTTCAAAATCATTATCAGGATTATTGTCGGACATTGGTAGAGCAACATCACCACCGACAGCTCCAGGCATGATGAAAGGATAGCCAATCATTCCGTAACTTAAAATTGTTGGAATAACCGTTTTTATTGCCTTCCAAGACGATGGAAATGGTGGCAAGGAAACAAAAACTGGAGCTCTGGGTCTGGAAATTGCCCCTGAGACACCAATTACCGGCACTGAATTTAAAATTGCTTTGCTGAATATTGTTTTGTAGTGATCAGGATTTGTCAAGGGATATTCACATTTGTAATATTGGGGCATATCATGAGCAGTTCCCATATCTAAATAAAAGGAATCCACATGATATTTAGAAATGAGATTCTCAAGTTTACTCATTAGCCAAGGAAGAGTTTTATTGTTGGTAATGTCAAGAACACCAGCGCTGCTAATATTTTTGTATCTTGTCAATGCTGGTATTCTGGGATCACTGCCTCTCTCGGAAATCAAAAGACGATTTGTTACAGCATCCTGAAAATTTTGTGACTCTGTGGAGATGAACGGTTGTATTGAGAAGACAATACGAAAGCCTCTTCGATGCATTATATTGATTGTCTCCTCCATTGAGGGAAATCGAGTCTCATCAAGAACAAAATCACCAGGATGCGTTTGCCATTCTTCACTGAGTAAAACGTGTCCTTGTCGTAGAAAACCAAGGAGAATCACATCCTCAGTGTAATTGTAAATTGCAGCTTCATTCGTGGGTGATATTTGCCAAACTGGTTCAGTGAGAAGTGCATGAACGGCATGTAATTCATCGGGCGTTAAACCATCCCAGAGAGTTTTTTCCGCCATTGTTGAATGAAGATTTTTCATATTATCAGTGGCGCATATCGAATAGCTTAAGGACGGTAGTGGAGTGGGATGATTAATGTAAGCGAAATTATCGTATTTGGCTTGAAGGCAAAATTCTTTGGTTCGATTGGCATTGATCGAGACATAGAGTGGTGTGTCTGGATCGACAAGAATTGTGGCACCTTTTGAATTGAGAAAATATCGTTTGAGAACATTACCAAAAGGATGTTTTTGAATGTCACCAGTTATGAAGGGACTCAACTCAAGTTTTCCTTGTTCGAGTGGATACGCCATATTTTGAATTTGTCCACCTCCATACCAATGTCCACGATTGTGTGACCAGTCAAAGCAATCCTTGGGGTTGAATGAAGGACTGAGACTTTGCCAAATGAATTTGTAACAATCCATTGAATCGCGCTCACCATGAGATAAATAGAGTCGAGTTTGATCCAACCACTCGAGACATACGGATTTTCGTTTCTGATGCTGGGGTAAACATTCGAATACTCCACTTTCTGACGAAATTCCTAGACCTAGTCGGGCTGCTATGATTTCTGATCCAGCTCGATTGTAAATGTGCATCAATCTTTCATTGTTGTTGAACCTGTAAGATGAAAAGTCACTCAATCATGTTATTAAAATTTAGTATTTAGAATAGTCATGAGCGAATTATCTAATAATTATTAATAAATTAGTTTTTCAATTTTTTGGAATACATAAAGATAAAAGAAAAAACAATCTTTCACTTTTTTAAAATTTAGACAACGTTTCGGTGGTCTAGTTCATCATCATCATCAGGTCACTTTAATAAAAAAATATATTTAAATAAATACAACACAAATTTAGAATCAAAGTTATAACATTAAATAAAATATAAATTTTTACCTAATTAAAATCAATAAATAAATAAAATCAAATAAATAAACAAAATACAACAAAAATATAAAATATTTCAATTTACAAATCACAAACATATTAATAGAAGTGATTAGTCAAACTGACTAAAAAAAAAACTATTGCATTTAATGTGAATCATCTCAGTAATTAATCGTTTTTTATAAGTTTCATAATCTAAAATTTCTGCATAGTCAAAATTAAAAGAAAGATTATATTCAATTGTATGTTTATTCACTACAGAGTCGAGATTTTTGTTTTTATGTTCACCAATTCTTTTTTTCAAAGTACGTTTCGATTCATCAATATACGTGGCTGGGCAGTTATTACAATTCATCAAGTCCTTTCAATTTTATTACAGAACTTAAGCATTTTTCCACAACAGGAATTGATAGTAAATTTTTTTTTATATTAGATAATTAATAATAAATATCATTAAAAGGAATACAGACTTTAGGTAGATATTGATAAATATTAACGACATTATTAGTTTGTTTTTTATCTATTTTTTTTTGAATTAATGAATGTTTTTGGTTTTTAATACTTTTTTGTATAAATTCTAAAGAATAATCGTTGTTCTGCAAAATTTTATAAATTCGTTTAATATTTTCAATATGAAAGGACTCATGAGACAATAATATAGTCTTGTCATATAAATTGTAAACAATGTTCTTCTTTTGTTATATTGGATGAGATGAAAAATAATTTATTAACCTATAAGACGAAACGGATGTTTGGTACCAATTAGTGATAAGTTGATCATTGTTTTTTATGAGAAATTAATTTTTTATCCACCTCTAGTTCATAAGTGAATATCAAATTAATATATTAAAGGAATTAAAAGTATATATGAAAAGTTCAACTTGATCTTTATGGACACACAAAAGAGTGTCGTCCACATATCTAAAATAAAATATATGCAAAATTAAAATTATTTTTGAGTAAATTCAAACAATCAGATTCTAAGTTATCCATCACAATATCCGCAGAAAATGGTGATATTGATGAATCCATCAGAGTGCCGTAAATTTGTTGATAAATTTTTTCATCAAAAACAAAATAAGTATTATCAAACAGAAATTTAGTACAATTAATAATATCAGCAAAAGGAATCTTACATTTATTGTGAATGATATTGTGTCTTCTATCGAGGCTCTGTATAACTAAATCGCATGGAATGTTAGTAAAAAGTAAACTAACGTCCAGAGAAAGTGAAACAAAATCTTGTGGTACAGTAATATTCTTCAATTTTTTCTTTTAACTTGAAACTATTGTTTACATGAGATTTTGGTAAAGGAATTACAGTTTTAACTCTTCGTATATGATTTTAACCAAAAAGTGAGTTGGACTATTTTTGAGTGAAATAATAGGACGAAGAGGTGCATTGTCTTTATGGATTTTTGGTAAACCATAAAATTTTGCCAAAGAGGTATTAGTCATAGTTAACTGATTATTATGATATTTGTGCTTAAGAAAATCATTGTCATTTAGATTTTTAAGAATTTTATAAGTTCTTGATTGTAATTTGGATAAAACTCCTTTCGTTAAAATTTCTTTATAATAATTATAATAGAAACTAATAATTATTAGTTAGAAGAATTTGAATTACCTGAATCTATCGAAATAGGCCCTTTGAAGAACATGTGTGTTATAGTAGGCGTATGCAAATCCAACAAGAAAAACAATGCAAAGAAAGAGCATACCAACAAATGCTCGGAGTCTAAAGGAAAAAATAAAAGAAATATTAATGATTTTTTTCTACTTTTTTTTTTATATTTTTAAATTATTATAATTTCAATATTTTTTCATCTTCTTACCTGTAGTCCGCATTTTGCCGTTGTTTATTGTTTCTCAGTGCTTGAGGCAACGACAACTGAAATTTCTCCTTTAACAAACTTTGAATACTATTTACACTAGTTATTGTAGAATGAGGACTTGGTGCTCCAGGAGGATTTAAATTATCATTTTCTAATTTCTGATTTGACGCTGGTGACGTTGATTTTCGTCTGGGGGGAGGTTGCACGGGAATTCTGAAAAGATGGTTTTTTTCTTTTATTACGTACAAGGTTAGTTAATTAATATTCCTGTTTTGTTTATTATTTTATTTTTATATAATTATTATTTTAAATATTTTTTGTCATTCTATAAATATATAATCTTGTTTTGAGTAAAACCCGAAAAAAAACAATTTTCGGTGAAAGTATTTGGACACTGAATATACATATATTCCACATCGTGAATTAATTAGAGATAAGAATCTTTTTTAATATTGTAAATTCAAATACAAATCACAATAAATGATAAAAAACAATTTAAAAAAATCGTGAAAATAAAAAATTTAATTATTAATTTAATCATTTACAATTAAAGTTATTTTTAAAAAAAATTTAATAAAGTTGAAATATATAATAAATGTAAAAATAACTTTCTTTTTTTTGTCAATGTACCTTTGCAGAGATACCGCACTCCCGACGTCATACCTTGGAATCATTCTCACTCGACAATAATTTGGAAATTATTAACCAATAATTGAAAAACTATTTTATAAACTCTATTATGAAACAATAATAAATGTTTTATATTTAAGATTTATGAAATTGAAAAATATATTTCTTTTACAAAACATAATTTACAAACAATATTAATAGATCAATTAATTAATTAAATTATAGAAAAATATACAAATAGAAATATTTTTTTTGCATCTTTTAACAGAATTTTTACCCTAGACTCGTTCAAAGATAACAGATATAATTAAAAATATTGAATTTCAACTGATCGCATTGGATTTATAGTAATGAAAAAAAAACATTCGATAACCCTGAAGCGATACCGAAAGAAATTGTGGTGACGTTCACTCGTGAAGACCCTGAACGCGACTGGCATTCATCTCTCACACGGTAGTATATTGGAAAAAATAAATATTTCCACAACTCTACCGCGACTTGAACTTTAAACATGTTTTTAAAAAGTCGAGTTTACATTAACCGAAAAAAGCGGAAAAAAAAGAAGATTTTGATTGAGAACCACTCACACTTTGATATATCACAGTGAGAACCTCGAAAAATAATGATAGTAACAGATCGTTCTAATATATAGGAACTTGAGCTTCAATTATATTACAAACGAAATAATTGGCCCTTATTGCAGATAGTGTAACAGACAATGATACGGAAACTAGCAATACATTTTTAAACTTCAAATATTGTTACACAATTTTTTATTTTTTTTTTCAAAAATGTATTTAAAGTGAATAAAAATTAATTTAATAGTACCTAATTAATTTAATTAATTAATTTTCACACAGCACCTGAATTTGCATAACATTACTCTCTAAATCTGAATTAGTAGTTTTCTACTAATGAAAGAGTCGTTTACCAATTGAATTAGTAACAGTTTTGACTCTTTTTTAGTAAAAAACTACTAATTCATGGAGTAAATCGGCTTACTAATTTAAAATAGTAAAAAATACGATTTACTCCATGAATTAGTAGTTTTCTACTAAAAAAGAGTCAAAACTCTTTCATTAGTAGAATACTACTAATTCAAATTTAGAGAGTAGTCTCAAAATATTCTAATATTGCAAAAATAATGGTAATTTTTTGATAATATATTACTTCAATTTTAAATTTTGTAGCGGTTTATAAATTTAAATACATATAGGTATAAATTACCTATAAATTATTTAAATAATTATTTTTAAAATTATGTTTTAAATAATTTTTTTGTTTTTATTTTAAAATAACGTTTTATTAACCCATTGTCTTTGAATTGCTTGAAATTTTTTGCTTACTTTGAAAATTTTTCATCATTTTCTTCATCTTCAGTTTCTGAACACAATTCACTTCCGTTTGGTGTTGATCCACTGTTACTAAAAGTTGTACTGCTATCACTTTCTGGTCTCGAAAATTTAGAAGGAACTCCCTAAAAAGTGCAGAAAAAACTGTTAAAAATCATAAAAATTGTACTATTTAAATAATAACTATAATAAAAATAATACCTAATAATTGAAAATAATTATAAAAGAGATAAAATTTTGAAAATATTTAATTTTTATAATTTAATTATTAAATGATAGAATATTACATATACAACCTTTAATAAAACTTTTTGTTTAAAATTTAAAGAATTTTGTGTATGTTTCATGATATTAATTCAATGTTTTAAAAATTAGAAAAATTCCTTTTAAAAAAATATCTTTAAAATTTCCACTTTATAATAAAGATTTTGCACAAAACTGTCGTCTGTAAAATTTTCCTACTAACTGAATTAAGGACAATTCACTTTTTACACGACACATCCATTTGGTGATTAAATTTGTTATATAATAACGTTATCACGTGCAAATCAAGTTTTCTGCAATTTAATATATAGATTTGATTTACTCAAATGTCAAAACCAAGTGTTAATTCTTTAATTTATATTCTTACTTGATTTTATTTATTATAAACCATAATAAAATAATTAGAAAATCGAAAATGCAGCAATAAATTATTTAACTAGAAAATTAAAAAAAAATTTCTTTATCAATGTTTGATTATTTTCATTAAACAAAGTGAAAAGAATAATTTTTAATTTATTAAAGTGACAATTATTAAAAATTAAATAAATAAAAATAATAAATATTTTTAAAGTTTTGAAAAAATATTATTACTGACTGACCTCTTGTATCGTATATAATTTATAATTTCCCTGATTCAAAAACATACGTTCCAGTGAATAAATAGAACTGTATTTATGATCCTTTTTATGATCCTTATTCATTTTTGTTAGAAAAATATAAAAACTACCTTTGCAAATAAAATAAAGTATAAAAAATTAATTCGTAGGAGTATTCCTAAATTAATTTTTCACAAATAACTATAATAGACACGTGAGTCATTTCGTATAATTTACGCTAAACACATATATATAATAATAACTTATCATATTATATTATTTTATTATATTGTCTGTCTGATTCATAACAGAAAATTTTCAAATATATTGGTATTATTGGAAATTTTAATCATTCGTCGGATAAAAATAAAAGAAAATCTATATTAATAATTAATTTTTATAATTATAACATAGTTTTATAAATTAATTAATTTATTCATTTTAATGAATTAAATAATTCTAATAAATTACCTTCTGATCATTAATTCGGAGATCATCCATGTCATCTAATTTACTTGGCATAGATATACTAGTTTTCCGAATTTTTGATCCGAGACCTATAATTTCCGTTGTGGATGGTGAATTTGAAGAATTTTCACTTTTTTCTTCTGTTCTTGAATTCAATGGAATTATTTCAATTTCGTTGAATGGAGTTAATGGAACGTTTTCGTCTGTAAATTATTAAACTAAATTTCATCATTAAAAATTAAATATTATCTTTATACTAAAAGTAGCAAATTTTTTTTTAGTAATTAGTAATTTAAAAATTATTAATCAAATTAATAATTTAATTACTATATTATAACAAATTAATTTAATTCATTAATTATAATTATTGTCAATACAATACAGTTTTTGTGGGATTGAAATAACAATAAGTAAAAAAAATTTTTTGAAATCAAAGTTTGCATACTTTAATTGCAAAAATGTAATCAAATTGTGTATTCAGCTAATCTTTTATTTAAACACCAAGAACTCAAGATGCAAGTTTAATCACTGTAATTTACAAGTGATTTGATAAAAGATATGATAAAAGATCAAAAGACTTACAATTGTTTACCGATTAAAAATAATTGAAGTCAAAAAAATAGCAAACTTCATTAAACATGTTGACTTTTGTAAATATTAACCTTCTATTTTGTGTAACTTTATAATTTCCTTTTCAAACCTAGTAAGTTATGAATTGTTCGAAAAAAATAGTTCATCTATTTCATAAATGGTCAATCATTTCAGAAATAAAAAATTTTGTTTCAGATTTTCCGATTATTATTATTAAAGTATTAAAAAAAAATTGTTTTCATCTTCTATTTATATAATATACAATTATTACCATACATTTGAAGCACTTTTTAAAAATAAATTTTTTTTTATCAATTTTTCAGTTCTTTCATTTTATCTAGAATGTCTGACGATTCAGAAGAAATAGAAAAATTAAAATCATTGGAAAATGAATCGTTTGAAAAATGTATGGAAGATACAATGGAAAATGATATTTTAGAAAAAAAAATTGTTGTCTGCAAAGATAGAATATCACAATCGGAACCCTCATTAATTTATTATAACACAAATGATCCACAATCAAGCTCCTCTGGCTCAAGCACTTCTACAAATACTGTAAATAATTCTCTAATAATTATTAGTTTTATTTTTAAAATTATACATTTTTCAACAAATTTTATTTTATTTATTTAATAAGCTTGAATTATATAAAAATTTCTCTTAAATGAAAATTCATGTAAAATCTAAAGAATTTGACATAATATAAAACTTAAACGTAATATATTACGTGCTACGTGGGCTTAAACCTAGTATGAAAAAATTTTTTTTTTTTTATCATAACCAAACTTTCTCTAAAATCAGAAAGATTTTGGGGTAAAATTTTGAGGGATGATAGAAAAAGGTACAATAAACCTCATTGTTATCTTAAAAAGAAATAATTTTGCGTTAAATTATTAAAAATTTAAGGTCAAGAAGTCTTATTAAACGAAAATGATAAGAAACATGACGACGAATATACGGGACGTATGATTATATTATGTTCTAAAAATCATTAGTTAGAATTTACATTTTATGGAATTTTAATTATCATATTTAGTTTTGAGCCGAATTTTTAATTGTTCGAATTAGTATTTTACAGAATTTTCTTAAAAACCATTTTCTATATAACAGATATATAATCGAAAATTCACATCACAGAATTTTTATTTGTCACAATTTTTATTTGCTCGAATTTTTATTTCGTATAATAGGCATTTTAAAGAATTTTTATTGGGTAGAATTTGATTGCTTAGAATTTTCTTTCAGATGAATTTTCATTTGTTCGAATTATTATTTGATGTAATTTCCATATAACCGATTTTTCATACTAAAGAATTTTAACTTAACCGAAAAATCATTTAACAAAATTTCTAATTGATAGAATTTTCATTTGTCCGAAATTTCAAATGTCCAAACAAACAATCGATAGTAAGGTTTCGGCGCGATTTTTAAAATCAACCAATCACAATTTTATGGATAATTTTTGATTGGTTGATTTTAAAAATCGCGCCGAAACCTTACTGTCGATTGTTTGTTTGGACATGTGAAATTTCGGACAAATGAAAATTGACCAGGGATGGGTAAATGTCGCAAACTCAAGGTTTGCTACGTATGATACCTAAAATGTGTAGTATACGTAACAAATTGTCGCAAACGTCGCAAACCATATTATAAATATAACCTCACTTTTCGGATGTCAACTCGGACTCGCCTCATCATCATAACAGATAAATTATAATAATGTCTCAGGCAACTCAGGTAAATAGATCTACTGGTAAATATAAAGAGATGAAATATTCTTTAAATAATAATTTATTGCACTTCAGTTTAATAATTTTTATTAAGTTAATAAGTGTTTTTATATGTCTTTACTCTTTACTTTGAATTTCTATAATCCTACAAAAAAATCTCGAAAATGCTTCTGAAAAATTAAATATAGATCTTTTTGATTTTTAGAAACAGCAGGAAGAAGCGGATGAAATTTCGAAGATATTGAATTTATCAAAAGGAGATCTTCAACTAGGGATGTTCTTTTTTGGATGTAATATTCCATTCGCGGTAGTTGAATCCGATTTTTTTAAAAAGTTTGTCAAAACTTTAAATCCGAATTACTCGCCGCCTACCAGAAAAACTCTTAGTAATTCTATTTAAAAAAAATTTATAATAAAATGTTAACTGATCATTCATCAATACAGACATTAATGTTGAGAGGCCTTCCACCTAGATTCATTTTTAAAAAAAATGTCCACAAAGCAATAATAATCAAACGAATCAAACAAAAATTCAAAGACTAAACACATAGCGGGAACCAACTAGATTGAGGTTATATTTGCTTCTGACCATTACGAGTGCCTACGTCATGAAATGTAACAAACGTTGTGTAGCAAACTGGACAAGTTGTATACACATGTATCATACGTAGCAAACTTAGGTAACATACATGAAGTATGTTACTTACCCATCTCTGGAAAATTCTATCAATTAGAAATTTTGTTAAATGATTTTTCGGTTAAGTTAAAATTCTTTAGTATGAAAAATCGGTTATATGGAAATTACATCAAATAATAATTCGAACAAATGAAAATTCATCTGAAAGAAAATTCTAAGCAATCAAATTCTACCCAATAAAAATTCTGTAAAATTCATTCCATAAAATGAAAATTCTAACTAATGATTTTTAGAACATAATTATGCGTCCCGAATATACAGACTTCACGTGAGTATATCTGTGGTCGAGTAAGCAGCGTCAATACGAGCTAGTGGCCGCTGAATGAACTAGGAAACAACACATTAGTTTACTATTTCTTTATTTTTATCATTTTTGTACTAAATTACAGAAAATAAGTATACAAGAACGGTGTTTCTTATACCTTTCTCTATTATAATTCCCAAAAAAAATTTTTTCATTTAAAAAAAAGTATAAGAATTCTAAAAAATGTCTTTTCTACACATTAAATCAAAATTTAACCTTATAAAATTCGAATTAAGGAAAATTTTTGACATAATTAATTTTAAGAAATATTAATGAATTTGTTAAAATAATCATTAATTATCAACAAACAGTATAAATGCGTAGACCCTATAGAAAATTATTTTATGAGAAATGAAGAAGAAGAAGACGAACAATCCCGAATTATTTGTGAGCCTTGTGTATTGGATGAAAAAGATGAGGAACTTGAAGAAATACCGGATGTAGAATGCACTTTAGCAATTATAAAACCGGATGCTGTGAATTATCGTAAGGATATTGAGCGTAGAATTTATGAAGAAGATTTCGAGGTGTATCAAGCGAGATGGTTGCAACTGAGCCCAGAACAAGCATCAGAGTTCTACTCTGACAGTTATGGGCAAATTAATTTTGCTCATCTCGTTGCGTATATGTCTTCCGGACCAATTGTCGCGATGGTATTAGCCAAGCATCAAGCCGTTCATGAATGGAGAATGTTAATGGGACCAAAAGAGGCAAATGATTCATTCTTTGAGTTATCATATTGTTTCTTTATAACTGATATATACTTGAAAATATTCTCGAATTTTTTTTTAAGAATCTAATTTTCCACTAATTTCAAGTAATATCAGTTATGGTAGTTAATTGTAATTTCAAAAAGAACCAGTATTATATAAAAAATTGTATAGTGTAAAATTAAAAATTATTTATTAATAGTTCATTAGAAAGATTGTTTCTTTATGGTATTTTCAAAAATATTTTTTCTTTTTCTTCAAATATTAATAATTATAGTTTTAACTAATAATAATTTCGACTAACTTTATAGTTCCAATCAATGATAGTTTTAATTATTTATACTTCTGGAAAATGACTTCCAAATTGTTAATGGTTTCGAATTAAATTGCAATTCTTGATGGCTATACTTTCAATGATATTGTTTTTTTTTTTTTTTAATTTATACGATTATCGTTAGAATAAAATAATTATATATATTATTAGTAATGATAATTGTAGTGTTTCCAAAAAAGTAACTTGAATAAAAATTGATCATCAAATCTAGAATCAATGATATTAATTTTATAAGAAAAAATAATATTAGAATGGCTAAAAAATAAAAATTATCTCATAGGTCACACAGGCCCAATTGTATTTTCCTGACAGTATTCGGGCCCAATTTGGAAAAAATGACGATGAATTTCAAAATGCTGTTCATGGAAGTAGTAATCGTGAGGAAGCAGAAAAAGAAATTCACTTCTTCTTTCCCGAATGTAAGAATATATTCTATTCTAATAAATATGTCAACAAACTTATTAGTACATAAGAAAACATAATATAGGTAATAATAGATAAATAATAAAGTAAGTAACAAATAAATATAATAAATAAATATAAATATGTGTCGCGCTCCGAAGAAAGATATAAAGAAGCAAACGAATTATAGGTTATGTTTATGCCCCCACAGCACCGAAACTTTCCTAAAGAATTCCTAAAGATTTATTTTGAAATGTTCGGAATATTTCATTGCAATGTTTTAGTGAAAATTGTGTAAATATTTAAATGTCCCGATTAAATAAATGACATTTAAATCTTTACACAATTTTCACTAAAACATTGCAATTAAATATTCCGAACATTTCAAATAAATCTTTAGGAAAGTTTCGGTCCTGTGAGGGCGATAGTTCTATCTTGATTAAAAGTTCCTTTTTTATTTATATGAAATCGAAATAAGTTTTTATTGCATTTTTTTGAATATAACGAAGACATAAATATTACATTGGCACACAATAAAAAAATTGAAATAACCTCAAAAAAACGCAAAATTTGACACAAAAATTTCGAAATCAAGAAAAATTCTTATCTCTTTGTCTCACTATGACTGCTTTATATTTTTGGAGTCGCTGAATCCGAATCTGAAGTCTATTTAACCCCATCATGTCAGGGCTTTGACATAACCTCAAAAAAACTAAAATTTAGGAGTTTTTTGAAGTTATTTCAAAACCCTGACGTGATGGGGTTAAACAGACTTCAGATTCGCATTTAGCGACCCCAAAAACATAAAGTAGTCATGGTAAGACTTAGGGCGCACTCACACCTTTGTGGCTGCCTGCCTGCAGGAGTTGTCATGGCAACGTGCAGGAGTAAGAGAAAGAAAATTAAAATTTGAATTTACTATCTTTATTACTCCTACACGTTGCCATGACAACTCCTGCAGGCAGGCAGGCATCCAAGAGGTGAGAGTGTACCCTTATAGATCCAAATTTTTCTTGATTTTAAAATTTTTGGGTCCAATTTTGGTTTTCTTGAGGTTATTTCAAAATCCTGACGTGATGGGGTTAAATAGACTTCAGATTCGCATTCAGCAACTCCAAAAAAATAAAGTAGTCATGGTCTGATCAAAAGCTCATCAGTTTATCAATTTTTTTTGTGTGCCAGTGTAATTATTAATAATTTTTATATTGAAAGTTGATTTATTTTTACTTAAAAATTTCAAAATATAACCTAAAATTCTCCGTTATTAGTAAAAAAAAATATTAGTAATAATACAATAACTTTTTTATTGAACATTAAATATTCATTTTCAGTTATTGTTGAACCTATACTCAAGGGGCAAATGGCTGTCGATTATTTATGGGAAGTAATTAATTCAGTCCTAGTAGAAGGTTTAAGCGAGGTAATAATAATAATAATTTATAAACAAAAAAAATTATTTATATTCGACAAACTATTAAATTATCAAAACAAAATTTTAATAAAAGTGTTGCAAAGTGAAACCGGAAGATCCGATTTTATGGTTGGCAAATTGGCTCCTTACGAACAATCCTTACAAGCCAAAAATGTCCACGGAACTAATGATGATTCCCACGTAATTTAGTATTTTTTCCAAAATATTTAAGAAACAAAAATTTATCTCCGTGAGAAATGAATAATAAAACATATTTTTTGTATTAAATATATAGCGGATAGTGGACAAGAGTGTATCATTTCAGTTTTCTAGAAAATGATTTTAAAAACTCTAAATATAAATGAAGTTTACGTATACCGATTTATTTATATGAAAAGTTTGGTAGCATTTTTATAATTCATTTTCCAGAAAAATAAAATGTTACCCATAAATAATAAAAATAAAATTTATATAAACTTACCTGTTTGATCAATTTTGAATGGAGTTTGAGACGACAGAAGTCTTCTCGAACGTTTATAATGTGGTGATGATGGTGTGTATCTAAGAACAGAAATTTCGTAATTTTATAGTAAAAAAAAAAATATGCAAAAAAATATTTCTTCTATTTTTTAATTTATATTATAATTTTTAAAAAACACATGATAATTATTACTCCATATTACCTTGATTCCACCAATTCTTGAACAATAGATCTCAGTCGATTGCTTTTGATTTCTGGTTTTAGTTCATTGTTTTTTGTATTGTTAGAATTTTCATTATCACAATAATCCTCAACGGTAATTGTTATATTATGAGGAAAATGAGGTTTAAAATTGGCAAAATTTTCTTGATGACCTACACTAATATCATTGAGCTTAGGTGCCGTTGGATTTATTAATTTCGAACTTGTTTCTCTGCCGTTTGCAAAGCGTACTCGTGATGTATCAGTAGGTGAATTGTTATTATTAACATTTATAAACTCTTCAAATCCGATTGGAAAATTACTTTCAACTTTTGTATTTTTATTATCCTTTATTGATTTATTCGGCTTAAAAGTTCCATCCGAAGAGAATGCTCCCGTATTCAGTCCAACGATTACTCTGTGTGATAATAAATCAATTATTTAATCGATTGATGATTTGATGACTAAACTGAAAATCTAATAGAAAAAAAAATTTTATAAGAAAATTGACGACTTTTTAAAAAAAAAAACAAAATCTTTTGTACTTTAAAGACATTTAAAATAATTAATGACACAGATTATTATATTTTGAAGATATGAATCTTTCAAGATTTGTGTTTTTCATTGAAACGAGAGTTAAAAATATTTTCAAATGACAAGAATGACGCTCAATTGTTCTCCTTCACATAATGTGGTACGTGATCGATGTTACAATTTGTATCTCAATTCGTCTCTCATTCGACCTACAAATATACATAAAATAAAACGTTGAGCATAAACTTTTTAATTTTCAATTCTTTTCAAAAACACATTTTTTCACGAATCTTAACATCTTTGGATTTACAACTACCAAAACATTTGATTACATTCAAAATATGATTAAATTTGTTTCCCGCAAATTATTTAATTAAATTCCTGGTAAATTTATAAATTGATTTTTTCTCAATTTATAATAATTAGGTACTATTGTACAGTCATTTGATAAGTATATCCTTAAACACTGTTAATAAATTTAAAAAAATGAATTTATACCTTGGAATACTTTTCAAATCGCATGCTGAATGTGATTCAAATGGTTTTCTGGCATCACTGTAACAAAAAGAACTGCTTCCTGGTTTGTACCAAGGTGATGGTATCTTGATAGGACTATTGGATGAGGGCCAAACTTGACTTCCGGTATTCGTAGATGTTGGTATATCGGATAAGGAAATACCTCGTCGTTCATGCAGACGAATTGGATCGACACTGGCCACTTTGACATCCCAGGGATCGACAATGGAGAGCAACACTTTCTGTACCGATTGAAAAGAGACAAAACTACACTGACCATATAGTGACTATATAAAGTGATATAAAGTGTAGGAGTAGAGAGATATTATTAAGGCTCATTACAATCATCAAGACCCTACAGTCTATACTCAAGCCAGAACATTCAAACAAACAAAAAGTTTCGTCCAATATTCGATATGGACAAATTCCATGGTATCGTACGATTTAAAAAATTATAAATATCAAATTTTTTAAATTGCAATCCCAAGTAGCACGTAATATTACAGCAATATTACCCGGTAACATTACAGTGATATTAAAATGTCCGCCTCATGGTAATATTACCGGATAATGTTACTGTAATATTACACGGTAATATTAAGGCATTATTACTGTAATATTACAGTAATATTATACCATAATATTGACACGTAATAATACACGAGAATATTGCAGTAATATTAGAAGAATATTATTTCACGAAAAAAATTTACCCAACAAGGGAATCGAACCCCGAACTTAAGGCACACAAGTCCTGAATTTTACCAACAAGCCACACTGACTTACAATATATTTATGATTGTGATGCTTTATGAGTAACTTAAATCAATTTGTAATATTACACCGTACGACACAATTTTTGATCCACAAAAAAATTTAACATTTTCGGAAACTAGGACCAAAAAAAAAAATACCCGTATCTGACCGATTTGCTAGATCAAGTCGTTTGTGGTTTTTAGAGGTGAAAACAACCCCTAAATGAAAATTGACAAGATATCTTTTAAAAATTATTAATATTTTATAAAACTTGGTATCTGGGGGTTTTTGGGGTCACTGATTATTAATCTGATGTCAAGATTTTCAAAATTCAAATTGGCGGATCCAATATGGCGATCAAATTTTTAAAAAGTTATTAATTTTTTATTTTATATCCGTTATTTTGAATTTTGAAAATTTAACATCAGATTCGTCATCAGCGACCCAAAAAACTCCCAGATACCAAGGTTTAAAAAAAATTTAATAACTTTTTAAAATTTTGACCGCCATATTGAATCCGCCATTTTGAATTTTGAAAATCTAACACCAGATTAATAAAAAGCGACCCCGAAAACCCCCAGATACCAAGTTTTATAAAATATTAATAATTTTTAAAAGATATCTTGTCACTTTTTATTTAGGGGCTGTTTTCACCCCTAAAAACCACAAATGACTTGATCTAGCAAAATTGTTAGACACGGGTATTTTTTTTGGGTCCTACTTTCCAAAAATGATGGATTTTTTTGTGGGTCAAAAAAAAAGTTGAATTTTGTCGGACGGTGTTACTGTAAGATTACCGTAATATTATGTACTAGTTGGGAAGCACATATTTTATTTATAGAAATGGGTGATTCCAATTTCCACGTGAGATTTACTTATATAATATTTTAAATTCGGATAAATATATTTTTTTTCGTTCTTTGCAGCAAAAAAAGGTATTATACGTATTTTTTAGTTTTTTGCTTCCTCGTAGAAAGCTTTATAGATAGTGATGACAATTTTCGAACTTCCTAAAATCAATTATTTTAAGAAATTTTTAACTAATATAGTTATATTTCGACATAAGGAACAAATGTCCGGATGTATGTGTGTGCCACCGCTTCTTGTGTACAAATTATCTCAAACAAATGTTGACGGATCTCCCTGAAATTTTGCATGCTAATTCTACTTACTAATACCTTCTACACAAGGATTTCCAAAAAATATCCACACAATTTTTTTTGGGACAATTTTTTCAAAAAGTTAAAAATATATTTTTTGATAAAAAAGCTTTTTATTATATAAATTCTCACTTTATTTATTTTAAAAACGTATTCTTTGCGTTGAAACGAATTTTTTAACCTATATTAAGTTCATACTCTCTAAATTTGAATCAGCGGAATCTCGCTGATTCTCAGCTATAAGTATACCACTGATTCTAATCAGCTTATATGCACTGATGAATTAGTGGAATTTCACTGATTTTTCAGCGTATATCCGCTGATTGGTACCAGTGGTATACTTATCACTGATTCAAATTTAGAGAGTATTTTATCTAAATTTATAGATAAAATCATTATGTTTATTTTTTCAAAAAATTTAAATTTTATGTTTTTGTTAAAAAATTTTTTTCTTGTTTCTTAATAAAAATTTTCAAAAATTTGAGTTATGACAAATTTTACGCAAAATTGCATTCCTTACATAAGAAACTAATTGATTGATCTATATATTTTATCTTTTATAAAATTAATCGTTATTTTTAACGTCAACAAAACGTAAATAAATTCGAAATAAATTATTCGAAAGAACTTAAGAAAAATAAAAATTTAAGAATTAACAACAACTTCTTCAGAAAATGCAAAATTGAAATAAATTAAATTAAAAGTATTAAAACATTTTTTTTTTTTAATGTAAATTAAATATTTCCTAAAATAATATATTTATTTATTTTTTTTAATATTTATTAATAATATTTCCTAAATATTTCCTCATAATGTTCGTGAAATGAACATCACATTTATGTAATATAAATGTCCACCCCTTCTTGTTTATTAAATTTTCCAGTTATCAATTTTTAAAAATCTGGTTTTTTCAAGGCAGACCTAATTTCAATGATATCTAACTCTAAAAGTATGTATTCAATTTAAAAATGTTTTTCCAAGAGAAAAAAAAGTTTCAGTTATTTTTTAAAAATATAATAATTAATATTAGGAGAGAGTGGGGAGTTGTATACTCCAGGTTTTGTTTTTTGATCAATAGTGTTACATAAATTTTTTTTTTTTTTACTATTCATAGAACTTTTAGTACATGTACAAACAAAACTTTTGGTATAATTGATTAATTGAAATTCAAAACGGAAATAGAAATTTTTCTTGTTTTTCGAAAATACTGGTTTTATGATTTTTCAAAAACAGTGAGGAGTTGTGCTCGACTGTTGAAAATTGAAGAAAAAGACATGTTTAGAATATTCTTTATTCAAATTATGAAATGTGAAAAAGTAAAATAACTTACATAAAATAAAGTAATAGATAAGATAATAAAAAATTAATTTTAGATAATTTAGATAAAATAAAATTATTTTAGAAATAATTGAATTAAACTAGGTAATTAATTTCATTAACAGTGAATACAGATGTAAAAAGTTTCATTTCATTAAAGAACAATATTTAAATTGCATAAAACATTCTAATTATTCATAAATAATGCAAAATAAAAATAGAGAGTGCGTATTAGAATTAAAAACTGTTAAATATAGATGTGAGGCACAACTCCCCACGAGGCACAACTTTACACTATCCCCTACTACTTGTTTAAAATTAAATTGATATTGCTTTGTAGAAAACAAAAAAAAGTTGTAAAAAATTCTATCATTTAATTTGTATGTGTATAGAAGTGTTAAAATGGAGTATACTTCAATTCTTTGATTCATTAAAAGTCAACGAAATTGTAACGGTTTTTGAAAATTTTATTGGTATTGAATTTCACTATTTAAATGATAAAGGAATTATAGTGTAGATTTCTGTTTTTCAATTTGAATGTTCAAAAATCATTGAATTGAACGCAATACTTAAAATTTAATTGATATTGCTTTGTAGAAAACAAAAAAAGAGGTTGTAAAAAATTTTACCATTTAATTTGAATGTATAGAAGCGTTATAAAATGTAGTACACTTCAATTCTTTGATTAATTAAGAGTCAAAGAAAATGTAACTATTTCCAAAAAAATCGACTTGTTTCTTTTTTTTTTATCAAAGTACAACTTTTTAGAAATATTTTCCCCAAGTTTTGAATCAATTTGAAGTAAATTCATAATATTATAATAAATATTAATTTTTAACATAAATATACACGGAGAAAAAAGATTTCTTTTATAAAGTAACTTTTACTACTTTCAGAGTAAAACTGGACCAACTCGAAGTTTCTGCGCATCTCTGGCAATTTTTACTCCAAAAATAGTAAAATTTACTCTAGAAATAGTAAAACTTACTACGGAAAGAGTAAAATTTACTACAGAAATAATAAATTTTACTATTTTTGGAGTAAAAATTGCCAGAGATGCGCAGAAACTTCGAGTTGGTCCAGTTTTACTCTGAAAGTAGTAAAAATTACTTTTTCTTTTTCTCCGTGTACCATTAGTTGTGTGCATTTTTTATTCATTAAGTTATATAAAGTAATTAATATTTTAAATTAATTAAAATTAAAATTAAAATTGTATTGCATAATTATTTAAATAAATATTACATTGAACTAAAAGTTAAATAAAAAATTTTATTGAACTCAACTTGAATTGTCATTATATTGGAGAAAAAAAATTGAATAAGAATTAAATGTTGCACGAAAATTTCAAAAGAATAATATAGCACAACTTTCTGAGTTAACATTTTATTGTACTGGCATTTGAATAAATATTTCATCAACGGGGGTAGTTGAATTAAAAAAATTCCATTTGTTTAAAGAAAGTAAATTATTTCATAGAAAGTTAAATAGAACAAAATAAATTACGTTTAGTAACGTAAGAGGAAAAAAATAAAAGAAAAAAAGTAGTACAAGTAAAAATAGTAATTTAATCAATTTCAAAGACCTTATTAGAATTTAAGATATAGTAATGTAATATATTTTACTAGTATGGGTAATCAGATATTGCAAAGTACTGATGCGATTTTATATAACCATTATACGATTTATATTAATAAATAATATTGCATATAAGAATGTAGTGACAGGCGATATTTGCAGATTGAATATAACTCAGTATATAATGAAAGCTTTCAATATTTTATTCCATATTTGGTCTCAAAAATGTTCATGAAGCAATTTACATGTAAACGAAAAAAAATTATTTCTCATAAATTTGAAATTCAACCTTCATGTTTAAAAAAAATGCTTCTAACATAGTTTTAATTTGCAAGAAAATTGAAAATCTCTTTTTTTATTTTAATAGATGGAAAACTAAAAAATAGATATTTAGTTTTAATTTTAATAATAACGTATATTTATATACAGAAATTTGAATTCAAAAAATATGACAACGCCACTGTAATTTAATTTTATTTTACCAGTTACAGATTAATTCTTCTTGTATGTTGAAATCTTTGAAAAAAACTGCTTTTATGTACAAAAAAAAAATGTTTGTTATACTAAAAAAAAAAAAATACAAACATTTAAGTTGATATTTAATGCAAGTTATATATACATATTTATATTTATTTATAAATTATATATAATTTTATTGAATTTAAAATATTCAATGATGATGATAATAATTATTACATAACATCACGATCTCTATTTCACGTGATAACATAATAAGGTCTAGTATTTTCAAGAAATTCCCTGTATCGTAAAACAAACTCTGACTCACTTTTTATATTAGAAAAAAACTTATTAACTCGTCTTTTTATAAACTCGATAGGCAAAGAAAAAATTTGAACCATAGTTTTTAGAACAAAATATTATGAATTTGGTTCATTATATCTTATATTATATAGATTGATGCGAATTTAATTGGAAAAAGTATTGCTGTTAATTGTGACAAGTTCAAGTCTATTAACTCCATAATCTGATTAAATGTAATGCGATAAGATATACAGTTATGAAGAGTGAAAGGACGAAAGTTTTTCATTTAAAAAAAAATATATAAAATATAGATTCAAGAAGAGAACAATAAAGTTTAATTGTTATTTAAATTAAATACCTATATTCAGATTATTAAATAAATTTTATTATTTTTAATTTAATTATCAACTTTTATATCCGAAGAAAAATATAATGAATATGTTTTTTATATTTTTAATTTTTTATAATTTATAATATAAGAAATCGCAGTTATTTAGTTCTAAAGAATTACAAATAGCAGAACTAATTTTCTTTGACGTAATATCACTTACAATCTTTGGATTTTAATTGCATTTTTGGAGCACGTGTTGCAATTTACTAGTTGTAAAAACTTGTGATTAACTAACTAACCGTGTTAAATTTAAAAAAAAAGAATTTTAATATGAAAAAAATAATCTCAATCTTTGTTAAAAAATTCTATTAATTATTTTTCAATCTATCTTTAAATATATAAACTATTACAAAAACAAAAATTTCAACTATTGACAATATTTTATCATTTTTTAAAATTTCAATTTTCATTTAAAAATTTTGGAAAATCCTACCTTCTCCTTTAATGGCTTCTTCTTTTTCTTCTTTGTCCCATTCATTCTTTCACTTATTTACAAGAAGATGGTCCAAAAGTTGATTATTTGATTTGTTTTGAAGGAAAAAATTTAAAAAATTAAAAAAAAAAAAGAAAACTATATTAAGACCATTTTGAAAATCAGAACTAACTTCTTGAACAGGTACTTGTAGACTGATCATGTAAACTGTATATTGGTAACCACTTAGCGATATCTTCTTAGCGTCTTCTATTGTCTTTGTATAAGTTTTATGTATACATATATCTTACACTTACATACTCAAATGCCCATAAGTATGTACGCAAGTTGAGCACAAATGAGTAAACATCTTTATGTACATGCATGACTGCATTTTATGTTCCAGTTGAGAAAGTTTATGTTTATCAATAGTTTATGATATGTGTCTAAGGCAGAAATGCTCATTGTTGAATATATTTTGCTTTCTTGATGACTTTTCGTTGGAGATTAAAAAAAAAGTTTCAAAAAAAAATTCCCATTTTAATATACAAAAGCTTCAAAAATTTATAATTAATTAAAAAATTTTAAATATAGCAACAAAAATCTAGATTAAAAGAAATAATAATAAAAATTACAAAAGACTGTAAAATTATATTTAAAAAAAAAAAAAACATATTTATACAAATTATTCTCTAAAACTAAGTTTTACTTCAAAAAATTTTTCTAGTAAACACTTTAGTTATCCCAAAATGTTTGAATCATATTTTGCCTTTGTTTGTTTAAAAAAGTGAGATTGGTGATTTTTAATGACTATTATTTTACTATTGTTACACAATATCAATTTTCCTGTACGATCAGTGATGTGTGCCTCTATTGTCACAAGTGATCAAAGGAAAAAAAAAAAACAATTGCATCCATATGACAATATAAACTTCGCATTATCTTCGGAATTAAAGTATAAGTTTATTTTTCACGTTATTTTTATAATAATATGTTTCTGCTAAACTCATAAATAATTAAATTAACATATATCATTTTTCAATATGAGTAAATTTGAATCACATTTTCCTTAACCTTGATAAAAATGAAAAATTTCAGATTCAATTGAAATCGACATTGTTTACGGAACGTGACTTTGAAATTAATTAGTAAATTAATATTGAAATTTAAGTTAATTCTTCCAAAAAGAATTATTTTCTAAAAAAAAAAAGAAAGGGAATAAAAAATAAATAGAAAAAACAAAACAATATTAAATAAGAAATAAAAAAATAGTGAGAAAAAAAGAAAAACTGAGAAGAATTTTTCTTTTCTCTTTGTAATTAACAAATAAATAAATTAGAGAAAATAGAAATAAAAAAGAAGTTTTATAAAAATGAAGAAAATTGAAACAGAAGAAAAATGTAAAATAAGGAAATTATAGGACTAAAATGAAAGGAATGTCTTAAAATAAAAAAACTTCAAATTTTTGGATTTGTTTACTTTTAATTTCTCACTTTGTTCGCTAAAACAATCAATCGATAAGGACACGAACAATTTTCTTAGATGAAAGTTTATAATATATATATATAATATATATCTGTTCAGCAAAAAAAAAAAAACTATTTTTTTAATTAATAAATTGATTGACAACTTGAAATTGGTAATCTACGTCTAAATATTTATATATATATAATTGAATGTTAATTAATTACTATTTAACGCCTAAATATTTAACTGTAATGATATGATCTTGATACAACGATAATTAAATTACAAGCTACTCGTCCTTAAAAGTTAATTATGACCGATTGACGACTAAATAATCGAATTATCAGGTCCTACTTCCAGAACGAGATAAATCACAGAAAAAATAATAATCTAAAAGAAAAAAAAAATACGGACAGATTCTTGATATTTCAAAACAATAAATTGTCGGAAAAATCAAATATTCTTATACATATAATTACTCTTATTCTCATTGTCTCTCATCAAATAAAGTGGATCAATTATATTAATTTTAGATTGCACTTATCATTAATTAATATTATCTTTAATTACTATTTAAATCCAGTAATAAAAATCTATTATATTCAGTGAACAAAATTATTTGAATCGTGTCTCTTTTTAATAAATCGGTCACTTAACTATTATCAAATAAATATTTACTTGAACCAAATAATTAAATTAAATAAACTGTATACTTGATCCAAATATTTGTGTATTTGAAACAAATACCATAAATTTGACTCAAATAATAATTATTTAATATAAATAAATTTTTTTTTTGTTCAGTGTAAGTGTAGTTTTTCAAAACTTTATAGAAAATAAAAGTAATAGACTTTAAAAAAAAAAAAATCGTCCAATAAAAATTTGGTATTGAGAATTTTTTAATTTCGACAAATTTGTTTTTTAAAACAATAATAACATTTAACAGTTTATTTCAATATTATATTGATTCGAAAATGTCTAATAAAAATTATTATAATTATTGCCTTAAATACTAGATATGTGCTAATATATTGAATTTAAATTTAATTTTATATATCGAAATCGTATATTTTTGTTCGTCAATTTGTTAAAATTCAAATTTTTCAAAATTTGAAACGTATTTTATTTTTCCAATTAAATATTAATAAATTAATATTAGCACATTTCTAAAATATCTTATATAAATTTTTTATTAACAATTACAGGAGCGACGATTTATAATGAAGAAAAATTCGATATGTTTCAATAAATATATAATTAACATTTTCAGCGAAAAATTCGTTTGAAAATCATCGCTCATTACTTTTATCTATGGATTTTTAATATTTTAATATTATCATTGAAAAAATGAAAACACTTTTCGTTTAATTTTTTCTTTTTTGTACTGCTTGATTTTTGAAAATCTTATACAAGAATGAGTTAAATTGCAATTTCACTGGAATGAGAAAAAATTCAGTGTTTCATTTGTATAATACAATTTTTTTTTTCAATATCGATATTGTTCGCAATGAATACGGGTTTTTTTTTTTATTATCACTTTTTCATATTTACAATTTTCTTTCGAAACAAAAATAATTCCAGTAAAGACGTTTACACATAACACGAAAAATTATTTTTTATATCACTACCTAAACTCTTTATATATAATTATTTATTATGCAATAAATTCATATTTATCTGACTATTTACATTATCAATTTCTCCGGATTCAAAGATCCATACAATTACATAGTATTATTCACGTAAATTAACATTAAAACATTTCAAGTGTAATTTCTATAATAATTTTTTCTTTTTGTTTCAATGAATAAATTTTTCAGTGACTTTATTAGTTTCAAAATTTTCAGAAAACAAGTAACATTCAACAAACTAGTTCTCTTAGAACTTTTAATAAATAATTTATTTTTTTTCTTCCATTATTTATATTAATCATTATTTTTTGAAAATGATTGTTAATATTAATAATTTGAAATAATCGTTTTATGAGAAAAAAAAAATTAATAAATAGATATATTAATCAAAAATAAAAATTATAAAACGTTTTTTAAAATATCTGAAGATAATGTAACTAAGAAAGTCAACAAATATTTCCTAAAATTATAATAATGAAATATTTTAATGATTGTAAATTCTCGATTGTTATATAAATATCGCGGTATTATATTTTGTAATTATTGTTTCCGCTTTATTTTTTTTTTCCACTTTCTTAAATGGAATTTATTTATTTTTTCCCTGTTTCAAATAAACACTGACGAACACTTATAAATATACTTTTCATAATTTTTTTTTTTTTGTTAAAACTTCAAAAAAGTTAGAAATTTACTTCTATTTTTAACGTACAATAAACATCAAAAATAAATTCTATCTTCATTAACAATTAATCGGGAATGTTGATAAAATAATTTAAATATATTTTCAGAAGACAAAGTAATTTGTCATTGATCATTTCAATGTTTTGCGAAGTTCCATATTAAAATTTTACCATACAATTTATTAAATTCGTGTACTGTTAACAATCATTTTTCTCGTTTTCATATTTTGTGAAAGATAAAATTGAAATAATGTAACGTAACCAAGTGAGAATAAAAAAATATTTGATAAAATTGCTTAAAAAAAAAAGGTTACGTGTGTTTAATTTCTTACAAATAAATGACTTTCCCTATATTGATTATATCTTTCCAAAAGTACAATGGATGAGATTATAAAAAAAAAACAGATAATTGGAAAATGTTTATTTAAAAATTTAAAAACAAAAACATTTATTGTACTCTATAAATTGATTCTTTTTCATGAAAAGTTAAAGTGAATGAAATAATATAAACTTGTCTTAAAATAACACTCGTCCTAGAATCTTCTAAGTTCTACCTAATGCAAATCGCTATTTTGCGATTGTATACTTTTACGGTAAAGATTCATTATTATCAGTACCTGTCTTATTATTTTTACATAATAAAGTGAGTATTAATTCTCTTCTCAATGAAAATAATTTTGTACACAAACAAAATTATTATTTCTTTTTTTTTTAGAATATAGATATATATAATTTTTTTATTACTATTATTTAAGTCTTCCTACCACAAATAAGATACAAATAGCATTATTTTCAAATTGAGAATATTTTCCCATTTTTTTTTTTTTTTTTAAATAAATTCAATAAAATTTATTTTTTCATATAACTTCTTTTTCTCAAATCTCTTTATATATATATATATATATATATATATATATATATATATAAGAATTTAGTAAATAAGAGTTTTATTTAACGATTTTAATAATCGATTTATTTAATAAAATTATATAAATTTTAAATAATTTTCAGTCAATTAATATAAATAAAATCAATTTAATATTTCAAAATAATTTATAATTTAAAAAAAAATTTGGACAATATATCTTCTTTTTAATTAAGAGGACCTAAGTAATTATCGTAATAATTATGAGCAGGCAATTTTTTTTTTTTTTTTTTTGCTAGTACTGTGTATTTATATATTTGTGAAATATATAATAAACAGTATAATAAAATACTAATACCAAATTTTTATCATTCTGCTGTCCGAACTGTTTTTTTTACAAAATTTAATAAAACTGACTTTGTATTTTAAGTTTTAAAAAATAATTGAGTTAAAAGAAATTTTTTGATCATGGCACTTATTAACCAAAAAGGAAAAAATTTTATTTTTAGTTTCACTTTTTAGTAATATTGACAGAATGTTATTTAAAAAGAAATTGTAATATTTCGTTGATAAATATTAACAGTCTTATATGGCACAATTATAAAATTATTTATTTTATTTTAAATTATCTCCTTTAGATTTGATTCAATTTTTACATATAAATATATATGTATACATACGGAAAAATCGTTAAGTAACAATATTGTATATAAATTAATTTGTACACTACTTGAAAAAAAAAATTCATCTATGATGAGTTACAAAATTAGTAAGAAAATGACAAAGGTTAACAAATGAAATTAAAATAAATTATTAAATATAAATTGAAAACAAAAGATAATAAATATTTAAGTTGGATAGCAGAATGATTCATGGCTCACCTATGTAAATAATAATAGGTAATTCTTTTTATCGTTTCTAAAAAATATATGTGAAAAAATGCTAACAAGGAAATACCTTCATTTTCTTATTGCTTTAAGAAAGAAGAAATTAATTTACGGTTTTTTTTTTTTTAGTAGGCCAAGTGAATTATGATTATAATAGGCGACTATGTATTTATTGTGCCTTTTTTTTCTTTTACGTATAGAATACTTTAAATTGTTTTCCCATTATAATAATTATTATTTTTTCGGGAACGAAAGACTGCTTTGCATATTTATAATAATAATAATAATAATAATAATAATTATATATTAAAATAAAGTGCATCTATAACGAAAAATTTAACTAACGCATTCATATTAAAATAATATTTTTTGCGATGTTCAACTGGTTTATAATTTGAAAATTCATGAAAACTTTAATCTCAATATTGATAAAAGTTTCTATAATATTATAACTGCTATTTATAATTTTTCTAACAATTATATTCTTGCCTCAGATCTTTGAGTCGATAATAAATGTAAAATTATACTGTATATATTGAAGAGTATCGGTATAATTGTATGCAAACACAATGCACACATATGAGGAATTTGCAAATAAAGAAATATTAAGAAACATATACTTATTTTTTTGCATTTCGTCATTCGCCCGAATCATCCCATTTTCCCTCCTCAGATATTCGATCAAAACAATCTGCCAGGAACGTAAACTGCGAAAATAGTTGTCAAAATATTAATTAAAAAGTTTTTTTTAAAAAAAAAACAGAAAATTTGAAACGAAAAAGATTTAAAAAATAGTTTAAATTAATAAATGATTAATTAAATTTAAATTATTATGAAAAATTATCTTACATAGGGTGTGAAGACTTTGAGCCAACGAGGTGGACGATTATCGGACCTTGTATATTGGAAGCAAAAAGCCATTCCCTCCTCATCGGTTTCCCATCGAGTAATGGTATTCCATTGAAATTCGACCACTTGCGATTCTAAGGTGCCGTCTTCTTTTGCTGCGTGCAATTTAAATGACGCAGTTCCAACTGCCGCAACTACGTGACCCTCTTTTCTCGAATCACAAGCACAATGAGGAAAAACGATATCACCATAGCCACTTAATTCACGAGCTAATTTCAGATACTAAAAAGAAAACAAAAATTAGTTGAGAATTAATTTAATTTAATTTACAATCAGAATTAAATAAATTTCAATGAATTTTAAATAGTTGAAAAAAAATTTGCACAATAACAAAAAATTATTTTTCTTTTTACTTAAAAAAAAAAAAAACAAAAATAATTGAATTTAATTTTATTATAAAATTAAATTTTTATGAATTTTACCTCATGTTTTCTAGAAGCATCTTGCAAAGCTTTAAGTTGATAGAGTCTCTCGCCTGCAGAAATATGTCCCCTATTAACTTCGTCGACAGTTTGCCAAAATATCCACGTCAAAGCTTGTTCGCTGAGGGGTCTCGAAATATTGAAGAGCCATCTTCTTATACATAGACAAGTTGCACTTGCCGTTGAATAATTTTGAATATACAAAGTGTGTGGATGTTCATGTGGTTGTAATTTTCTCTCTGAAAGTAAAATTTATTTACATATTACTAAATTTATACTTGTTTTTAAAATTCAATATTTGTCTTCGTCAAAGATTTTAATTTTGGCATTGAATTAATTTTCGATTAAATTTAATCAAATTTGTTGCTTATCCTTTTTGAACCTTTATTTTCTTGAATTTTATTTTATTTTTTTATTATTTTTATTTTTTATGAAACTTTTATCTTATTAAAACAAAATTCGTAAATGACATTATTGTCATAAAAATAAAATGTGTAATTTGTTATATATGAAAGACGAAAACAAATTTTAATGTCAGTAGTAAAGTACAGTCTTAGTCAGACAACAAATTTCGAATATTTGGAATTTTAATATTAGTCATATTTCCAAATTCTAATAAAAAGAATCAATTACAGTCAGTGTTATAAATTTTTAAAAATTTTAATACAATTACTAAAAGACGTCAGCGAATTTCACAATATTCATGATCAACGATTAAAAATTAAAAAATATTTTAACAAAAAATAAAATTTTTTGCATAAAAATTTTTCTTTTAATTTGTTGATCTAAAAACGTCGTATAAATTTTTTCAAATAAAAAATTACAATAATTTATATAGAAAAATATTTTTTCTTCTAAATCGATGATCATAAACGTTGTGAACTTCGCCGACAAAGTAAAAGTTGAGTGTTTATTCAAATTTTTAAATTCTTGTTAATACGGTCAGGCAAGATTTAAAATTTTTGCAATATTTTAATATCAGTATGGTAAAAGCCATTTTCAGATAAATAAAAGGTTCTTAAATTTTTGCAAATATTGAAGTTATAATGGAAAACGTGAGTTTTATTAAAACAGAGATTTTCTAGGTTCTTGTAATTTTCGTATCAGTGATTATAGTTAATTTTAAATAAACAATAAGATTTAAATTAGTGTAATTTTTATGATCAATTGTTTTGAAAAATCATAAAATAATGAAAATTTAAGTACCGAAATTATATTCAACGATTTCGAAAAGATAAAAGTATTTTGCAGTCTCTGCGTCTAATCCAACTCGGCAACAAACAGCATCGTAAACATCTTTTACAGGTGAAGCTTTAGCAACAGTAACGGTGACAACTTCACGATCAGGAAGTAAAATTTTTAAATCCACTGCCGGTCCTTGATCGCCATCCTCTTCTAATCTATCCGTAAGAAATTCCTGCATTGCATCACTTTCAGCAATGACCCTAACTGCACAAACTTTTTCTAAATACTGTTCCAATCCTCGTCTTCTTGCATCTAATTGTTGTTCGCTTAATCTGAAAAATATCCATTTTTTTAATTTACAAATTATATAATAATTATTTTTTAGACGAATTTTCATTTTTCAAATAAAATAAATTTGACAGGATTTCTTTTTGAACAAATTTTTTTTGCTTTGTCAGTATAATTATTTTACAAAATTTTTCTTTACCAAACTTTTTATTTAAAAAATTTTAATTTAAAGAAACATTAATTTAGCATAATTTTGAAAATGATTCGAATTTTTAAATGTCAGAATTTTCAATTCACCGAATCTTCATTTGTTCAATATTTTATTTGCTCGAATTGTTTGACAGAAAGATTGCGGCGCAAATTTTAAAATTAACCAATCACAATTTTCTTGATAATTTCTGATTGGTTAATTTTAAAATTCGACGTTTTAAAAATTCTATCAAATAAAAATTCGAACAAACGAATGAATGAATTCTGCTAAATTAATATTTGGTTAAATTAGAATTTTTTAAATAAAAAGTTTGGTAAAACAAAGAAAATTCTGTAAATCGAAAATTCCTCTAAACTATAATATTTAATTAAATTCTTTAAAATAAATAAATTCTAACCATTGATTTTTATAGGAAATTCATATAATTAAGAATTACTTAATAATTTGAAAATAATCATAAAATGAAAAATTAATTATAAGACTATCATCTTTGATTAATACAGCAGATAATATTGAGAAAAAGTTAATTAAACATTTGAAAACAAATATTTTATAATTGAGTTTGATTTAGTTCGTTATTGAGCTATATATATATATATAACGGAAGTATTGGCAATTTTCTCTCGAATAATGAAAAGTTGTGATAGGATACGAATGATGAATCTTTTATATTCGGAATTAATAGGTATTATAAATATAGATTTGAATCGAGTTTCAAACTAAATAAACTGTCGATTCAGTATATGGAAAAGACAACCAATTTGTTTTTAACTGCTTGAAAAATCATATTCTATCTGCTTGAAACTTTTATTATCTCACTTTATTCTTTTATCTGTTTAAAAATATTACTCGCGATTTTTTCCTGGTTTGGATGATTTAAAACAGTAATTTTTTTTTTTTTTCTTAAAACTTTTTACATTTCATCGGTTTTTTAAAATATAGATATTATTTTACGTCTAAACAAATTTTTACATGTATTGTTTTATCAGTTTAAAAAATTTTTACATAATATTATTTTTTTTTAATTTTCATATTTCATTTTATTTCTTTGAAATTTGAATTTAACATTTTATCTACAATATGGCAATATTGTTATATAGGTCTAAGATTATTTTCAAATAGAAACTTGAAGAAAAATCGTTCAATAAAAAGTACTAAACTGAAAAGTGATGCCGGATCAAATACTTTAATTAACTCTTTCCTTCCGTTTGTACATTTAATTGGTCCTTAAAATACTCAAAGAAGATATGTACAATTTCTTAGATATAACCAGGGACTGTCTCGAAATATTTGTGTCGTGTCCGTGTAGTGTCGCGACTCGACACGTTTGAAAACAATTAAAAGTATCGTGGCGAGACCCGACACTTTTAAAACTTTTCAAACGTATCGTGGCACGACCCGACACAGTTAAGAAATTCATAATTGTATCGTGGCGAAGCACGATACGTTTAGAAATTTGTAATCGTATCGTGGCAGGACTGGACACGTTTACGAATTTCCAAAAGTATCGTGGCGCGACTAGACACATTAACAATTTGAGAATCGTATCGTGGGGCTGAACTACACGACACAATACAAAAATAATTATGAATTTCGTGTCGCATACAATGAAACTTGTTGATCAACATCTTGAAAGTTTATTAATCCTTCAATAACATTTCAAGAAATAAAATTAAAATAAAATAGATATAGATTAAATATATATCAAATGTAAATTATTAAATTTATATTAAATTTATATTATATTATATTAAATTTATATTATATTATATTATATTATATTATATTATATTATATTATATTATATTATATTATATTATATTATATTATATTATATTATATTATATTATATTATATTATATTATATTATATTATATTATATTATATTATATTATATTATATTATATTATATTATATTATATTATATTATATTATATTATATTATATTATATTATATTATATTATATTATATTATATTATATTATATTATATTATATTATATTATATTATATTATATTATATTATATTATATTATATTATATTATATTATATTATATTATATTATATTATATTATATTATATTATATTATATTATATTATATTATATTATATTATATTATATTATATTATAATTATTACAATATTATATTATATTATATTATATTATTTCCACGAATTTCTGTTTTCATCCTATACTGTTTATTTTCACGTATTTCTTTTTGTATTATCAACAACTTATTGTCTAGTATGTAAACAAACCACACTTAAAATTAAAAACAATTTTGTTCAATAAACTTAATAGATTAATTTAATTTATTAACATTTTAATATTATTATGATTTAAAGAATTGAAAAAAATGTAAGACTTGATTACGAATTCAATATCAGTTTTTTAAAATTCAAAATGGCGGATCCAATATACCGAATCAAAATAACTAAAAATGGGCAAATTCGTCTAAACCATGTTACCCAGGGGTTTTCGGGGTCGCTGATTACGAATCTGACATCAGTTTTTCAAAGTTCAAAATGGCGGATCCAATATGGCGGAAGACAAAATAAAAAATTAATTGGATTGTATTAAAAACCTATTACTCGGGGGTTTTCAGGGTCATTGATTACGAATTGTGACAAAAATTTTTTAAAATTTAAAATGGCGGATCCAATATGGCGGACGACAAAATAAAAAATTAATCGGATTGGATTGAAACCGGTTACTGAGGGGTTTTCAGGGTCGCTGATTACAAATGTAACATCAGTTTTTTAGGGTTTCGTGGCCCATGGCCGAAAGCCTTATAGTTTCACTTTGGCGTCTGTCTGTCCGTAGTATATTTTGGGGCACCACAGCTCCCAAAATCAAATTTTAGGGCACAGATCCCAAATTAAAATTTTGGGGCACCACAGATCCCAAATTAAAATTTTGGGGCCCCACAGATCCCAAATTAAACTTTTGGGGCACCACAGATCCCAAATTAACCTTTTGGGGCAACACAGATCCCAAATTCAAATTTTGGGCAAACATAGCTTCCAAATTCGAATTTTGGGGCACCACAGATCCCAAATTCAAATTTTGGGGCACCATAGCTCCCAAATTCAAATGTTGGGGCCCACAGATCCCAAATCTCCATTTACTGAATGGACATTTTCCCGAATGGACATTACATGAATGGACATTACATGTCCCATTAGTTAACATGCCCCTATAATTGACATGTCCCAGTAGTTGACCTGTCTCAGTAATTGACATGTCCCAATAGTTGACATGTCCCAATAGTTGACATGTCCATATAGTTGACATGTCCATATAGTTGACATGTCCCTATAGTTGACATGTCCCAGTAGTTGACATTAAAATTTAAAGCGCCACGAAACCCTAGATGTAGGCGCAATTGCGCCTAGTTCTTTTCCTATTTTTAATATTAATTAACCCCTGGGTAACATGGTTTAGACGAATTTGCCCATTTTTAGTTATTTTGATTCGGTATATTGGATCCGCCATTTTGAATTTTAAAAAACTGATATTGAATAATATTAAAATGTTAATAAATTAAATTAATCTATTAAGTTTATTGAACAAAATTATTTTTAATTTTAAGTGTGGTTTGTTTACATACTAGACAATAAGTTGTTGATAATACAAAAAGAAATACATGAAAATAAACAGTATAGGATGAAAACAGAAATTCGTGGAAATAATATAATATAATATAATATTGTAATAATTATAATATTATAATATAATATAATATAATATAATATAATATAATATAATATAATATAATATAATATAATATAATATAATATAATATAATATAATATAATATAATATAATATAATATAATATAATATAATATAATATAATATAATTCGATATTATTATTAGTATTATTATTATTCCATATATACTATATTATAATAGATAATACATAATAGATAAGTTTAAATTAATTGAACAATTTTTTTTCATGCGACACGACATATTTATGCAGAATTATCGTGTCGTGGCAAGTCATGATACGATACGATTCTCAAATTGTTAATGTGTCTAGTCGCGCCACGATACTTTTTGGAAATTCGTAAACGTGTCCAGTCCTGCCACGATACGATTACAAATTTCTAAACGTATCGTGCTTCGCCACGATACAATTATGAATTTCTTAACTGTGTCGGGTCGTGCCACGATACGTTTGAAAAGTTTTAAAAGTGTCGGGTCTCGCCACGATACTTTTAATTGTTTTCAAACGTGTCGAGTCGCGACACTACACGGACACTTTCTTAAAATTCAACAACATTTCGTGTCCGAGACAGTCCCTGGATATAACAGTTTTAAATTTCCAGAAATAATTACGACTCTCAAAATACAATGGTATTAATTTCTTTTGTATTTAAGACAAAAAAAATCTTTTCTATTCAGAGATTGTGTTTTAAAAATTTTATATTAACTTTACAAAAATTTCTAAATTTTTAACATCGGTGAAGTTTACAACGTTTATGATCAACGATTGAGAAGAAAAAATATTTTTCTATGCAAATTATTATTATTTTTGATCTAAACAATTGTTTGCAACGTTTCTTGATCAATAATTTTTTGAAATAAAATTTGTTGGCAAAAAATTAGTTATTATTTTTTGAGTAAAAAATTATTTTTTTTTTTCAATCGTTGATCATAAACGTTGTGAATTTCACCGACGTAATTTTTCTATGAAAAAAAAAATTTCTTTTTTACACTGAAAATACCAAGAGTGTTTTTTAAAGTTAATTTTTTACCTTATGGTTTATTCAAATAATGATTTTTCGCAAAGAATGCGATAATAAACAAAAAAAATTTATCAACTCACTGAAAAGGCCATTTTCCGGGTAATTTTGGGAAGTTGAACCCAATAAATTCCTTCTTCAAGGCCATATGGAGTGCGGCAAATTCCCGATAACGACGAGAGCACAAATGACGTCCTGCCATGTGAACATTAAAAACGACATACCGCTCATGTTTTCTTTCGCGAACATGGTAATCCGGTACACTAATTGGTAAAGATCTTTTCTCACTGTAGTCAACCGAAGCATAACTGGAAATAAATTTTTTTTTTATATAACTTTTTGTGCACATAATAATAGTAATAATAATAATTTTTACATAAAAAATTCTTTAACGTCCAACAATAATTTATTAAAAAGAATATCGATCGAAAAAAGAAAAAATAATAAATACACAAAATTTATCATAAAATAATAAAAACTTTTTGTATTATTTCAATAAAGTTACTTTGTTATAATTTAATTAATTATATAAAATTATTAAATCACGCTTACTTGACTATTATCAAATAAATATTTATTTAATTATTATTTTAGTCAATAAAATGGTATTTGTTTCAAATACAGGAATTATTGGTTTAAATACAATTTATTTAATTGAAATAAAAATTATTTGGTTCAAGTAAATATTTATTTGATAATAATCAAGTAACTGTTTATTAGAATCAAATAAATTGTGACGCATGAATATGTTCTAAAAATCATTAGTTAGAATTTTCATTTTATAGAATTTCATTTTGTCATAATTATTTTTGAACTGAATTTTTATTTGTTCAAATTAGTATTTTGCAGAATTTTCATCAAATCGATTTTCTATATATTACAGAATTTTTATATAACCAAAAATTCATTTCACAGAATTTTTATTTGTTCGAATTTCATTGTATAGAATTTTCATTTGTTCGAATTATTATTTGATATAATTTTCATATAACCGATTTTTTATGCTACAGAATGGAAAAATCATTTAACAGAATTTCTAATTGATAGAATTTTCATTTGTCCGAATTTGCAAATGGCCGAACAAACAATCGACAGAAAGATTTCGGCGCGATTTTTAAAATCAACCAATCACAATTTTATGGATAATTTTTGATTGGTTGATTTTAAAAATTGCGCCAAAATCTTTCTGTCGATTGTTTGTTTGGACATTTTCAATTTTCGAGAAATGAAAATTCTATCAATTAGAAATTCTGTTAAATAATTTTTTGGTTAAGTAAAACTATTAGGAAAATCGATTATATAGAAATTATATCAAATAATAATTTGAACAAATGGAAATTTATATGAAAGAAAATTCTATACAATGAAATTCTACCCAGTAAAATTTCTTTAAATTTGCCTATTATATTAAATAAAAATTCTGACAAATAAAAATTCGAACAAATAAAAATTCTGTGAAATTAATTTTCGATTATATAAAAATTCTGTAATATAGAAAATCGATTTGATGAAAATTCTGGAAAATATTAATTCGAACAAATAAAAATTCGGTTCAAAAATAATTATGACAAAATGAAATTCTATAAAATGAAATTTCTAACTAATGATTTTTAGAACATATTCATGCGTTTCTATAAAATTTAGATTACTATAATTTAATAAAGTTGACGCTACATAGAAAGCAGTGGCTAGAGCTTCAGTTTCAATGTTTTTTTAAAAAAAAAAAATTATAAAACTTAAAAATCCTTTACTCTTTTACGAGAGTGCTGCATTTATATGTAATTGAATTAGAAAGTCTACTAAAGTTGATTTGCAAATAAACGTAACAGGATCTTCTTTAAAAGAGGAAACGTGTACCTTATATCCTCGCATGGTTCCAATCTCTCTGCTTCCTGTGGTGTTACTGAGATCACAGTTAAGGTCAAAACGTCGCCTCCAGACTTTATCAGGTCTACTACCTGCTTGTGAGTTGCACCCTCAACGTTAACATTGTTCCTGAAGAAAAATAAAAAAAAAGTTTATTACATAGAATCAAGTTTCACCGGAAATTATCTTTGTACAGTATATTATATTGTCAATGTAACTAAGAAAAATTATCCGTCAATATTGCCAATTAACAAGAAAAGTATAGTTTATATTCTATTATGTAATAAATTAAAAAAAAGTGGAAATTTTTTTTTTATCATTATTTTATATTACTTTTATAAGTATATATCCATTTAAATTTAAGGAAAACTATATATATATATATGAGGAAAGGTCAGGAATATCAGGAAAACGAAGAAAATAAAATTGAATGAAAAAAAAATTAATTTATTAAGAAAAATTAGAAAAAAAATAGGAAAGTATCTATTTACTTTCAAATCTATATGTATGAACTATGTAAGAAAAGGTCAACGAAGTAGCATCTTATTAGAATTAAAGATGCAGATAAAAGAGATAAATATACCACTTGATTAATATATAAATGTACAATCATTCTATTTATAACTCAGATAATAATAATAATAATAATAATAACAATTTTAATAACCTAAGATTTTGTATAAAAATATATTTCTATTTTTAAAAATTTAAGTATGTACTTTTAAAAAAAGAATATTATCGTACACGACTCATTTTCTTCGTCGTCAAAATGTATACCTATATATTTAAATACAACATAGCCTACTTCAAGCTGATAATTGTTAACAATTTTAGTCGATTGCTAATTAACGGATATCAATGTCTGCGGGTTAAAATTTCTACTTTTCACATAACAGTTTCACTTTTTTATTTATCGTTTCCTTACTGTTTTTATTACTTTTTAATTTTTTTAATTATGTTTATTATCATAATTGTTATTATTCCACGATAATTTTTATATTATAAAAAGACATTATTTCTAATAACAATAATAATAATAATATTTATCATTATTATAAAAATATGTTAAGTTGAATAAAATTATATTGATATTGCTAGAATTTAAAAAAATATTAAAATAAAATAAAATTATTAGTTCAGTGATAAAAATAAAAGTATGTTTATAAATTTTCAAATTTTTCAAATTTTTTTTTATATATTCAGGTAATGTAGATAAAAAATAGACTCGAAAATTTCTAAATTTATTATCAATAATAAAACTCAGTGTTTAGTAAAGTAAGACGTTATTTAAATAATTATGATTTTCGTATCAGTAGTAAAAGTTGTGACGTTATAAAATTTAAAATCACAAAAGTTTATTTTGTTTTCAATATATTAATTAACTTTTCTTCATTATTCCCGAAAAAGATATTTCAATATAAAAATTTACTAGACGAAATCACATTATAGATTCGAGAAATGGAAAAATCTTATTTAATAATAATTTAATATTAAGAATTAATGTTTGTAATCCCTTTTTTATTTATGTACTTTTGAGCCAACATTCAACTGAAACAAGAAATTAAGATAAATATTAAGATTTAAGAAAACTTTGAGAAAATTAATTATATTGGATATATTTTGTATTGGTCAACCTAACCTCAATTTTGATGTCAACAATAATTGGATATTTTTGAAGTTTATTATCGAAAATTTGGATTCTTGAATATTTACTTCCGATGTACCTATTAATTGGATAATTAAGAGATGCCAAGTATTTTCATGTTTTATGCAAATATCACCCTGAGAATATCATTGACTTCGTTTCTTGGCGAAACACATAAGATTATTATTGATTTTTGGAAGGCTTCTTTATATTTTTAAATTACAACTATTTAAAACTTCTATTGCTGCGGGTTAGCCAAAACCCATATGAAATATTTGCGATCTTTTGGATTTATGTCAATTTGAAGTTTGAAGATTTTTACCTGAGTGTCATCGTCTTTGTAAATTTCAATATTAATTCCGAATTCATTGATGTTTATATTGGAGAAGAATTATAAAGATTTATTATCTTGCGTCGAATTAACGTATTAAAATCGTTAATCAAGAAGAAGTATTATTATTATTCAAGAAAACAATTTTTGTCAACAACATATATTATCGAATTTGAATTTTCGCACCTTTTTAATGTGGACCAATTGGCATCAAGTTTCATGAGAAAACCTTTTTACCGATCGTCGAATTAATTTTTTTTGTCCCAATCTTTTTATTCTTTTTAGATATTCATTTTTTTTTGGTTGGCAACGAAAATCTCCTAGGACTAGGAGAAAACAAACAACGTTTTCTTTAATCATTCTTTAATGTGATTTCGTGTAAGCTAGACGCTTTTTATTTCTATCATTTAATTTCATTTGATTTTGGAATCTAAATATAATAATTGGAGAAAATATATAATAAATATTTTAAAAAGGAAATATAATATAATTAATAAAGAAGAAAATAAGGAAATTAATTTAATAAAAACAAGGAATTGTTTGAAAATCTCTATTGGAAATTCCTTGCCAACAACCATTTTGATTCTATTAATTTTGGAATTCTCTGGTAAAATTTTATTTCTCATTTATGAATGATATCTCAAAATTAATTATTTGTTAAAATTTTCCAATAATGAATTTTCTTTAGATTTTAATTTAATTTCAATTTAATTTAAATATGATTTCTTTTCAATTTAATTGATTTTTACTTTTGAAATTATTCAAGAATGAATTTAATTTATCATTTTTATTTTTGAAATTGATTGAAATGTCATTCATTTAATTTTATAAATCCTACTTTTTTAACATCACAATTTTATTATAAACTATTGCCTTATTCAATTAAAAAATAAATTAATGATAATAATTAATAATAATAAATTAAACTCGACATTTAAGAAAAGAAAGCCGCAGTTATGTTCCTATAATTTTTAAACTCGCTGATTAAGAATCTGACATTAGATTGACAAAATTCAAAATGATGAATCCAATATGGCGGGTTTTCACTGTCGCTGATTATAAATCTGATAATAAATTTGTAATTAATGACCCCGTAAACCTCAGAGTAACAAGTTTTAAGTAAATTCAATGAATTAAAAAAAATTGTTCAATTAACAAGTTTCAAAGTATTTCGAAAAAATTTTTTAAAATAACTTAATTTTTTAAAAATAAGTAACTAAACTAAGTAAATCGTGAGCAAGGATTTATAAACTGCAAGTAACGTGTGACCTAAATAAATTTGTTCAGATCTACTTTATTTGATTTTATTGGAGGTATAGTAAATAACTTTTTCTAATTATACAGTTAACTTTAAAGTATCAAATTGATCCAAATTTTCATATCAATCCGATAATTTTGATATCAATTTGATACTTTTTAAATCAACTGTTTATTTTATGAAATTTCAATAAATATTTACATTTTTTTATAAACAATAGAAAGTCTTGAACAAAATCTGTTTATATTTTTTGATAATCAGACTTATAAATTCTTATTAACTTTTTAATAATGGAAAAAGTCTGTTAAAGTAGGACAGGGTTTTAATTTACTATGGTATCAAATTAATTAATTAAAAAAAATTTTTAATTAAGACAGACCAAAGTTTCTGAAAATTTTTTATAATTGAAATGTCAATAGTTAACGTGATTTTTATTCAGACAGAATATTTTTATGATTTTTTAATTTTATATCAGTATAGTTGAAGTTAATTTTAATCAGACAAAAAGTTATAAATTTTTTTTAATTATTCTGGTATCAGAATAGTGAAATACGATCTATGCTTTTGTAATTTCGGTTTCTTATATTTTGATGTTAGGGAGTGAAAGACAGTTTCAGCCAGACAGAATTTTAACTCTTTTTAACGGGTCACATGATTATCCCATAAAAATAATTAATTAGAATTTTCATTTTAAAGAATTTTATTAGAAATAATAACTTTTTTTAAAAGAAATTTCATTTTTCGAATTAGTGTTTAGACAGAATTTTTTTTTTAAACAAATTTTTATTTAACAAAATTTTTAGATAACGAATTTTTGTTTGGCACAATTCTTATATTTTATATTCTATATTTTAAATAAAAAAATTAAAAAAAAAAAAATTGCGCCTAAATCTTTCTATCAATTGTTTGTTCGACCATTAGCGATTTCGGAAAAATGAAAATTTGGCGTCTTAAGAATTCTATCTATTAAAAAATTCGTAAAAATTAAAATTCGATAAATTGCTTTCATTTAAAAATTCGAATCACATATAAAATTCGATTGAATGTAAATTTTGCTAAATTAAAATTCGCTTAGATTAAAATTCTTCCAAATAAAATGTCATATGTAAAGAAAATGATTATAGAATAAAAATTTTGTCAAACAAAAATTCGGTAGCTAAAATTTTTGTTAATTAAAAATTTGTATAAAAAGAAATTCTGACAAATTTTAATTCGAAAAATGCAAATTCGTCTAAAAAATAATAATGGGCAACAAAACCTAAACAAAAAAACAAGTTACACAGTATTTAAGTTTTGCACGGCAGAATAATCAATTAACCGATTATTTTGAATCAAAAAATTTTTTTTTTCAGTATATAAACTTTAATTATTTTTGAATTTCTAAATTTTTAGTAAAAGTTAGTTTTCGATTAAAAAAATTAATATTTATTTTTAACTTATAATAGAACTTGAATTACCTTTTGGTTTGATTAACTTGGGATTTTTGGATGGTTTTAAATTTTTCATTGTTTTGTCGATTTGTCCAATTACAGTGGACCGCGACTATATGATAATTGAGCATTTCTTAAAGTTGTTTATATATATATATGTAGTATAGTGAAAGAAAATAAGAGCAAATTATGTATGACGGTATATAGCATATGCTATGTAATACGTGCGCAATTGGTGCATTTTAACACTCAACAAGTACCCACGCTTGATATATATATATAATTTTTTCTCGCGAACTTGCATGATGGGTAAATGAACTTTTTCCGGGTTTAGAAATTTTCTCTGATTAAAAGGCTTTGCACGACTTTCATGGAATGTGACTCCCGTGTGGATACAACTTCCTCGATCTTCGTTGAGACAGGTGACTGGCCTTGCCAAGGAGAACCTTCGCAATCACTCAGTGA